TCACAGGTGAGTGTCAAACATTGAGTATGTTGTAGAGAAAAATGGTCTCTTAAAAATACAGGCACTTGTTTACTCTCTGTTGGGTTGAAGATGTGAAAAATCGTCAACCGGTCAACAAATTACAGAATTTGTGATTATATCAACAGAACTACAGGATTATGAGTCCTGAGCAAGCAAACATTAGAAACAGTGAGCTAGAAACAGGCTAACACAGTTAATATGACGACACTTTAAAATGCTAGCTGAGATATGTGCGAAAATTTAGCTAGCATAGCATACAGAACAAGCAGTGAAAAAGGCTAGCTGTGTGTTACCATGAGGAAACAGGTCAAAGCGAAAGAAAATACAAGGTTGACATAGTTAGACAACTTGTATCAAAAAACTGTGAATTCTACCCAACTTTAAAAATGTATAGTTAAGTATTGGCTAGTTAGCATAAAGATCGAAATGGTTAGCCTCGAGTTAATAGTGAGTTAACATAGTTGGTGGTATTTACTGTAGCAGCAGTTGAAATAGTTAAACCAAAAATAAAGAATAAATGGTTCACCTAAAGTTAAATGTTAGCCGGAAGTAATGGTGCAATTGTTTAATTGATATTTCAAAATGCTAGCTTAAAATTTAGCTAGCATAGCATACAGTATAGGACAGGATGCAACGTTTTTTTTTTTTGTGGGATGGTGGGGGAAGATCCCGCCCTCCTTCGCCTCCGTTTGGCTTGAACGTGTGATGACGTTTCAAGCTTTTTTAGCCAATCAGAGGCGAAGGAGGCGGGATTTTCCCCTGCCATCTTACAAAAAAAAAATATCACCGACAGGACAAACAGTGAAAAAGGCTAGCTGTGTGTTACCATGAGGAAACAGGTTAAAGCTTAAGAAAATACATAGCTGACATAGTAAGCCAACTTGGATTAAAAACTTTAAAAATGTATCGTGAAGTATGTTAGCTAAGATATGCCCTTGTTATATTCGGACAAGGCAAGTGCTAAAATAACTTCTGTAGATGTAGCCATCTTGTTTCCACCTCTGATTTTGCTTTTTTCCAACATGGTAACTGAAATGCCGGTACTTTGGGTGTGACGTCATTTTCAGCTCCAACATCTCCCCTCTGAGGTAACTCAAACACAGCATAAGTACGCTTCTCCAACGTAGCGCTTTAACAGTAGCTCCTACATTTCCCATAATCCCGCAGTAACACCACTTAGTTGAGAATGAATGTCATTTAACCGTAAGTTTAAACAACTAGATAGCTAAAACAGTGAGCAAGGTTTTGGATATGTGTTAAACTTAACTTTGAGTGTTAAACGAAACGATGTGAAGCTAGCTGCAGAAGCCGAATATAACACATATGATTGAAACAGTTAGCCAAAAGGAATACAGCCAAAACAGCAAACCAGATCAACAGTTTAAATGACAGGATATTAAGTTAAGAATGACTATGACAAATACTACACTTAAAATGGTGATTTAAGGAGCCACAAATATTGATATAGTAACAGGTAAACAGGTAAATTTAAGGCTCCAGCTCCTGCCACCCTTTACTGATAATTATTTCCTAAGTTGACCAAACTTACTTCAACACATTATCCGTTTTAACTTCTGTGGAAACTCACCGATGGATTCAAATCACACACTGAAAACATGATAGCATGTAAAAGGATTGGTACTTTGAGCCTTTTGGCACAGGTGCAGGATTCAAGCAGCATACAAAGTGAGGAAAAAGAGAAGCAGTCTTCACGCTGAATATTTCAAACTCTCATAATATTTATGATGCAACAGTTTGACCTTCAAGATCTTCCCCGGGCAGGTTCGCCTCAACGTGTTGCATCATTAAATTACAGATTTTATATCATTCATATTTGATGTTCATCCTGATCCACCGCAGATCCTGTGTTGGTAAATAGAAAGCACTCGTATTTTCCACAGTTTTGTACATCATCATGTCTTTATTTATGTGTAAACAAACTCTGAAAAGAGCATCAGCCAGGTTCTCGATTATTGGCATTAACATGATTCATTTCATTTGCAGTCATGGATAAAACATGATCACTCTACTGCAGAAAAAAGGTCTACCAGAGGGTTTATTAAGACAAAACACAAAGTCTTTCTTTGCACTGCTTTACGGCAAACTACGAGGACCAAGACGAGGCTTGATCTGAATATCTGAGTCTTACAGAGTCCATAAAGTCCTGCAAAGGTGATCATTCTGTATCATGTTTACAGGACTTCAGCGACTCTGTAAAATCTAAAAATGTTAAATTTGCAACACCTGGACTGAAAAAGACTAAAACTTTGGAGTTGCTGTGCAAAAAGTTGTCTTCGTGTTGATCTGAATAAACCCAAAATAAGTCACGTCCTACAATCTTGTTTTTTTAAACTTTTCTCCATCAAAGTTTCAAAAATTAATGCACCGTTTCTGACTTTAATCTGGCGGATCATTGAATCGATTTCAGTCTCAGGAAAAAGTATTGCCTTCGGTCGAGTTTTAAAGTGAGAGAAATTCTCTCGCTTCTCCTCAGACCTTGAAAATTTGACATAAATAAGATTTTAGGATGACTTATTTGCTGTAGCGGCCTTTTTCACAGCATGTATAATAAATAACATGACACTTCCATACTAACTGTACGCGACCTCAGGTCAGTCTAGCAAGGTAACTTCATCTCATCCTACTCGGTGTATGCAGTTTTTCTCACTACTGTATAAGGTGCTGAGTGTGTGTGTGTTTGTGTGTGTGTTGATGGTCATGTAGTTGCTTGGGAATGTGATTCAGTCACCGTGAGTATGTCGGTGTGTGTGTGTGTGTGTGTGTCTGTGATTGTGGTGTTAAGATTCGGACACGACCGTGCGTCCGTCCGTCCGGAGGCTTATTAGGTTAGTAGTTCGACAAATCATTAAATACGTAACAGGTGAAGATTTGCAAAAATAACCTTCTTAAAAACAAAGAAATAAAACGTCTGCGGCGATCACGGCAGTAGTGTTAAGAACAGAGTGCAACATAATTCGCTTAGTCACTTCCATTGTACATAAACAACAAATATATTTACAATCAGAACAAACAAAATATGTAATTCTTAAAAGAAGAGGAACAACATTCAGAACATTGTGGGACTTGAGAGTGTAGTGTTTGTTTGTGTTTGTGTGTGTGTGCGGTTTGTTACTGACCCATTCGGACTGGCATTAAGATAAAAGGGAAGAAGAAGAAGAAGAGCTTTATTTTACAAATATCTTACTGGCCTTAAAGGGGAATGCTCCGTCTGGAATTAGCCAATAAGAAAGCTCGGCACCAGCCTCCATCTTCAATGATAAAAACGAAAACAGCCTATTTCCTCCCCGAAATGGTCTGTGCTGCAAATCGAATCACTGAGAATCGACCGATTAGGTGCTTTTATGCGTCTAACAGTACATCCTCACAATGGAGGTAATAAAAGCCTGGAGCGGTGTGTTTACAAGCCCGCCGTATATGAAGCTGCGGTTGGAAAAACAAGCCTGAAAGTTGAACTTTTTCCTCTCCCAAGATGTTTTTTGTAAAAAGGTTTGTAGGATGAAAATGTACGAGCAGCACCGCTAGCAGCAGCTCGAGAGCTCTCCTCGCACTCGGAGGGTTTTGAGAGTATAGGGAGGTAAATATCGACGTGTTCGCAGCCAAAAGCCTTGGTATTTTTCTGTTTCATGTTTTGGTCTGCTTCGGAAAGCCGGGGCTGAGAAAGATCAACCAAGGTCAAACCGCATCGATGCGTGAAGAATCCGAACCCTGCCTGGGTGAAGCAGGTGGATTATTCTGCTCTTTCTGAGGCAGCCGGACGATATGCAAATCTGAGGTTTGAAGTTTGATTTAAGGTATAATGGGAAAATCAATCAAGTTTTACAACAGTAAACCTGTTGGACACAGTTTGGATGAAAGAAAAACACGCCGAAGATGCGGTTATATTCTCATACGACCATTTCAAACAGCCGACTTTCACGCGGAGAGAGGGACGCTCGTCGCTTCTTCCTCCTGAAATAAGGACAAGAGTACGAAGAAAATCTGTTTGCAAGTTCGTCTTTGAAGAGCGAGGCTGAGTGCCTTTGACAAAGTGGTTTTGGAGCTGTTGCAACTCTAAAAGAGCATCCGTCTTTTGTTGTGTAACCGTATGCGTTCATGTTGATGTGTGCGTGTGTCTGCGTGTGTCTGTGTGTGTGTGTGTTGAATCCTTCTATCACACCTCCTTTTAAGGCTTTCAAGCTGCTTTGGATCAAAGTCAGTCCCAGGGGATAATTCAGCATAAACATTGAGTTCAGAGACATCATAGCCTACCTCCACGTAGTGCTGAATTCAATTTTTCAGACACATTTCAACACGCACTTGATCTTTTTGATTCACAAAAAAAAAAAAAAAGGAGGCAGATGTCCCTCCAGCCCGGCTAATATTCTTCTGGCATCGATTTGATTTCATCATCGCTGCCACCGTCATCATCATCATCATCATCGTCGTCGAAAAAATAATTTCTTTCTAAGTTTGAAAAATGTTTAAATGCTCGAGATACTAAGAAGTTTACGTTAAAATCAGGATTGGAGAGAGAGAGTCGATAAAAACGAGGGCGGGTTTCACGTACGAGACTCGACTTTTCAGCCCTCGTCTTGGAAAGTTGCAAAAGTGCAACAAAAATGTGCCAAAAGACTAAATCAAGAATTTATGAGGAGGAAGAGAATTTGTTAGGATATGAAAATGAACCCCACACCGGCCACGAGATTAGAACAGAGAAACAGTACATTAGGCTATACGCGTCATCATCATAATTACCGATAGATATATAGCAGTCGCAGTCGCAGCCGTCGCCGTCCGGTTTTAGAAACACGTTTGACTAAAAGAGAAGGAGGAGGAGGAGGAGAACGTTTTCTCTCTGGAGTTGGATTTAAATAAATATTCTGTTTTTTAACTTTTTTTTTGTTGTTTTCTTTAAAGCCGTCTCGCCTCCTGCCTGGCGGATAAGGAACACGGTGCAGAGGAGTTTTAGAGGAAGGGCTCTATGTGAAGTTCTGGAGAGGTTGGCTGACCCTCATGCAGGCCCAGTAGAAGGCCCGAGCCATGGTGACGACCACCAGGAGCAGCAGCACGGCCCAAGAGGCGTAGATCCCCTGGTAGGTCTGAGCCTGGACCCACGTTCCAGCCTGCGGAGAGACATCACAGCAAGCAGACGAGGTTTTAGGAAATCAGATGCTACTCAGAGAGTCTTTTGAAGGATTTATCAGCATCTTCTCGGCGTGTGTTGTGGCGATTATAATGAGACGGCTCCAATCCAATCAGGCGGGAGAAGCCAGAGAGCCGGAGCTACAATTAGGCTGGAAAATGTTTTATGCATTCGGCGTGTGACCCATTTCGATTGTTGCAAAGTACCCAAAGATTTGTAACAGCAGGAGATCAACCCGCCTGCTCTCCTACTACATCTTTTAAATTCGACGTAAACTCCTCTGAGAACCGGTTTTATTTATCCATAATCCATGATGAATCCACCTGCAGCAGACAGATGCAGCGGCGCTGAATTTTGGCTGTTTAAACTGCACGAGTTTTCTGAGTGACTGAGGGGCAAGAGGGAAAAGAGCTTCCCCATCAAGTATTGAGTGTGCAGCTGCTCAGAAGAAAATTATTTAATGAAGATGGTAAAAGTGACTTTGAGAAAAACCCACGGGGATTTTCGGAGAATAAGGAAATATGAATTTCTGTTTCAAAGTCAACACAGCGGAGCAAAGCTGGCGCGAGTTGAAAAAGTCAGAGAGAAATTTTCAAACTTGATTTCAGAAGCATTTTTATGGTGTTTACATCTGTTGCAGTTCTCTTCTGTTCGGACAAACACAGACTTATGAATGATGCTGTTTTATTAGAAAACCACAAAAGACACGTTTCGACCGAAAGGAACAGGAACTTTTACTTCTAGGCATGAAGTCACTTGTACTTCAACCTTTTTCTGCTCAAAACTCATTATCTCTCGTTGTTAAAAGCAGTAATTTAAACCTAGAGACATCATATACATAGACGCCTGATTACTTGCTGGAGCATAATCCAGCCTCGCCGCCATATTGAATGGGTCTCCTCACGCCAGGCTTGTACAAGAGCCAAATGGAGTCGAGCAACTATGCCAGTACTTGTAAGCTCTAAAGTTAAATAAAAAACTGTATTAAAACCAGAACATGTAGGATTAAGTTTCACCAGTAAAATCGAAAAATAGTTTGGGTTATTTTTTAATGTGTGTCCTGTTCAGTGTCCTGTATTTATGCTACATCTCTATCGTGTTTAACAAATAAAATCGTGTAAAATTCGGGTAAAAATTTGGAGAGTTATGATTGATAGAGTTGGACATTCCCTCCTACCATGGCTCACCAGAGGCGCATGGCAGACCCATCCAAGATGGCGGCCGTGCTGATATGTAAGCTCCAACAGGAGTGTCAGTCTATGAGGCGTCTACGTATGTTATGTCTATGTTTAAACCTGTCTCTGTTTACACACACAGATCTAGATCAAATGTAAATAAAACGACGGCTCGGTTTTCAAAATAAAAGCAACACACAGCAGATCCATGTTGATCGGGTTGGATGTGGCCCTCAGGCCGTAAAATGCCCAAGTCTGCCTTGGAATGTACAAACAACAAAGACATGCTGCCTGTAGGCGTGTTTTTTAAATATAAATTAAGGATCCTCATTTGGTTTTCAGGTCCTGGCACTTTGAAAAGTAGTGAGTTGGCACTTTCTAAGGAGTAGTTTCCTCTTCCTGCTGTCAAAAAGCTCCGTATGTTTAAGTCCAGGGTTGCTCGTACAGGACAGCTTTTGTTATCTGTAGATTTCTGATGAGAGGAGCGTGAACAGAGCATCAAAAAACAGCTCATGAAGGCTAAACATGATTAAATATGCCGTGAGAAAAGTGGAGCGCAGCCTTAATTTAAACTCTTCCTCTGTAAGTGATGTGTAAAGTTTTAATGACTCGGGCTGCTCACAGGGACCATAATGTCTTAACTGGCGTCTTTTAGCTCACGCTGCTCAGCTGGGGATGCAACACAGCTGCTGTGGCGATGAATATGCGGCACTCTTCCCTCTCCGCCCTTAACCGTCTCCACGTCGAGAACAACAACTGCCTCCGCTGTTTCCTCCTGCTACAGGAAACGTTTCTGGATCAGCTTTATGTCTTCGGTTTGTCTCCATTAAACCCTATTGATGCAACGCTGAGATTTAGGAGAGCGAACCAGGTCTCCTCTGTCGTTCATTCAGTTAAAAGGCCCCTCCCATTAAGCACAGTCTGCTTTTATGTTGGGACATTAATTGCCGCCACACTTGCGTTATGCAATCCTGTCAGTGCTGCATATTTATTGTCTGCACATTGCTCACAGCTCTCCATGCTGGTGGGCACGTAATCACCCAGTGTTCAGTGTTTATCCTCTGTTTCATGCTCATCTTGCACCCTCTGCTGGTCATCAAGGAGAATGCGCCCACTCTCTGCCTCCTGATAGACTCCTGTTATTTTCCCTCCTATTTATAAACCTGTGATCTTTATTATTAGGAGATTACGCCACCCTTTGACAACGCATAACCATTAAACACGAGCAACCGCTGGATTGTTTAATGTGAAAACAGAAATAGGGAAACTAAAGATCAAAACATTTATAGAAGCGTCTGTGCTTTTCAGTGGGTGTTGCAGCTTGAACTCTGCATATAATCAAAGACGGTTCAGTTTTTTGTGTTTCTAACGGACTCTACAGGTCCGTCGAACAGCGTCAGGAGAGCAGCTGAGATTTAGAAACGTTTCTGTGTTAAATACTCGACATTCAGAGCGGTGAATGTGTGAGCCGGAGATTAAAATAAGCAACAAAAAGGCCGGATTATTCTGACGTCTACTCACTATCAGCCCCGCGGTGGAGATGACGAATAGCAAGCAGAGTAGAAAACACCACAAACTCCGCCTCCGGGGATACCTCTGACCAATGGAGGAGCTGTAAGGACGAAAGGAAAGAGAAATTAGCTTCATCTGAATACAACATCACCGATTTACACACTTTCTTTGATTCTGAAGTTCTTGACGTGAAGGGCATGACTTTCCACAGATTATACACCAGCTCTTAGTTAGGCTGCTTTCGGTTCAGACTGGTGCTGGACCAGTGAGACCCTCTTCCTCCTCCTCCATCCTCTTTCTGTCTGTATCTTTAACTTTGAATCATCATGTCCCATTAGAGTCACTAACAGTCTTTTATTGGAGTCTCTGAGCTCCATCATCCCGTAGGTTTCTCTGGATCGCTGCTACTTTCTCGGTTTATTTGAGTTCTTTATTATTATTTTGATCCTAGTTGTAGAAGTCCTGCAAACATTGTGTTTGCTGGTAGTCTGTTGACATCTACAGTAGCACCAATGCTTTTTACTTTCACGTTGACTGGGCCCCATTTGTAATGATCTGAAGTATTTATCTTCATTATATCTGAATTAAATTGGAACGATACGAGCGAGCAGGAGCGTCTGTTTGTGGGCGGGGCTTGAGGGAGGGGAGAGGAGGAGCTGAGGGGAAAACTGGTTTGGAGGGATAGAGTTTACATTCAAGATTTCTCCTAAAAACGGTCACTTCCTCAGATCCTGACTACCCCACCTTTAAGAGGAAGAAAAAAATCACTTCTGTAGTTTGTTATTTGTCTTTAGTAGAGCTGTGTCTGTTTTCCAGTGAACGAATTCTGCAATTCAAGACACACTAACGCACATTGGAGGCTGGGTTTTTTTGCCTCTTGTTTCCAGGCAACAAGTGATGTAATGATTGTGTGTCCCATTCCTCACACACAAACACACATATGCATGGGTAAACCATGAAAGTCTCTAAGGGTGCAGTGTTAAAGCCTCAGGGCGGAGACCGGGATTAGGCTGCCGAGTCTTTATCACAGTGGGAAATTCGACGTATTATACTGCAAACAGCTGTAGCGTTAGCGAGCGGCTAATCTAACAATCAGCTGACAGCTTCAGTGGCTGCATAGGGAATAAAAACCTGTGTGAACGTGGATATCTAAATGGAATATTCATTAACTTAGACCATGTAAACAGCTTTAACATCTTTAAACCAAAGCAGCTGAACACAAACTGGACTGTTTTCTGTGATTTCTTAGAAGCACGGTGAACAGGAGTCCCTGCAGGCTTTGGAAGGCGTGGTTAAAAACTCCTCAAGTATCTCCTGAAGGACTGTGAATGTATATCTGGTTATGGATGCAGATTTACGCCCCCCCACAGTCTCGTGAACGCTGCTAACAATGTTAAGAAGCTTACTGAGACAGACAGTGATATAGGAATGTGGTCTGTAGTAAAAGTCCAGGAAAATCCTGAACTTTAAAGCAGGAACCATTTGATGTTCAGACACATGTTAGCAATAAGTCCTGTGAGAAAAGAGCAATGCAGCGTTTAAGGTCAGAGACAAAGTCACGCAAAAAGGAGTGTGTGTGTATTTGTGTGTGTGTGTGTGTGTGTGTGTGCCTGGACTGCTGACTCTCTGCAGGTTTCCCCGAGTAAAAGTCAGAGAAAGTAAAACTCCAGTGTAAAAGTGGAGTGACAGTGAAGGGCTTTAATGGATGAATTGTTTATAGACACTTACACTTTCCTGCAGTGTGGGCACCTGGCCAGCGTCCGGTCCGTGAACTCTGTCCACTGAAATCACAGAGAGGAAGACATGTGACCTTCAACTTCAGCAGAACACACAGATTTTCAAAAGTCAACGTTGAACTATTTTGTCTTGATCATAATCAGAGTGTACGCAAACTTCCCGATAACGTCAGAACAGCTAAAGAAAAAAAAAGAAAAAAACAGACTTCCTTTTCCGTGCTGCGCTCACATCTGCATCCTCATTTCTCGGTCCATTACGTCCCCTGGGACAGCACCCATTCATCTGTTTCAATCAATGGTGGGTCTCAGTTCATCAATAGACACACAGATGCTCCACTTTAATGGGGAAACCTATTGTCTTCTGATTTACTGACCGCTAACAGGTCTGCTTTCCTGAAATAGGACCAGATTAAAGGTTTGTTTGAAGTCAAAATCTAAACATTGTCAGGTATGTCTTCTACAGGAGCTGGATTGAAAATTTCCTGATGCATTCTGGGACGTTTTTAGCAGCTCCAGTCTTTAGAAAGGACACCAATGCTCAAACTCTAAAAGCTGCAGTTCCTAGAGTGTCCACTTGGGGCTGTAGAGATATTTTCACAGTTTTTTTACACTTGAAAGTTACCGTTTTTTTCGGGCGATAAGGGCGCATCGGAATATACGGCACACTGTGAATTAATGTGTCTATGTTCACACAATAAGGCGCACCGGATTGTAAGGCGCGTTAGGCATTGGCGCATTGGCGGACTGGTGCATTGATTGGTTTATTGTTGCTAACGTAAAGCGAACCGGAATATACAGCGCACTGTAATTTAACGTGTCTATGCTCAAACATAAGGCGCACCGGATTGTTATGCGCATTAAGCATTGGTGCATTGACTGGTTTATTGTTGCTAGCACGTACTCTGGGCCCGGGCTGCCTTACATGAATGCACTTCTAGTTTAGACATTACAGTCACAGGGCCCATCAGGTAGTGATACAGCGTACCGTGATGCTCTGAATATTCATTGTTGCTTACCAAAGTTGTACTTACACATTTTGACGGATTTTTGAGCGAATTGTACAACAGAAAAATCTGTCATTAAGCACAAGTAATCATACATATGGCGCGCTGGATTATAAAGGCACACTGTCAATTTTTGAGTAAATTTCAGGATTTTAAGTGCGCCTTACAGTCCCGAAAACATGGTGTAAGTTTTGCATATTCAGAGGCACGGCTGACTTGATTGACAGGTGGGTAAAATCCTGACCCCACGTCTGTAAAGCAATGATACTCAATTTACTAGCAGGAGAAAATGAGCACATATGGTCTTTTAGTTCACCGAATATCCGGATTATCTGCTGTTGTTAAATTTCCCATTTGCAGTCAAAGGATGAAATGAAAACTCAATAAACTCGCCTGATGGTGCGAGTGAGTACTCTGACTTTAAATGTCATATGGTGGCGATTCGAAGCCAAACCATGAATCCTTAATTGAAATTCAAACTGTTATCTGCTGCGGCACGAACTGATGACACATTTGTTAAAGACGCAGCTAGTCCAGTCCTGGACAACAGTCGCTGCATGCCATCCAAAATTGAGGAAGAAAAATGGTTTCCTCTCGGGGAGAAGACATTTATTCTTTCTCTAACGCTGCGCCGGTGTGATACATTTGTACACCCTGCAGAGCTGAATTCACGGAGCGTGCTGTACATTCTTCATGTTCTGATAGGAACGCTTTGTATGTGAAGCACAGAGGACATTATCACCAGATCTGCGACAAAAGGATCACTGCAACGCCACCCAGGGCACAGATTTGTATTTTCATTCAGCCGCCCTGTCTTCAAACAGGTAGGAAAGGTCCGAGTGAATGCTAAACAGCCCAGCCATCCATCTCGCCTCTTTTAGCGCTCTATTCTTCTGTCTCTGACTCCGCCGGCCTCCTTCCTCTCACCATATATCCAAACCATCTTTACCTGTCCCACACATTGTTAAAAGGGCAGTAAGTTAAATTTCACTTCCCCTTTAGCACAAAATGGTTCCAATATATCAGCAGAGAGCTGATAGGGTTATTGATCTGCTCCAGTAACTCAACATTTTCTTGGCCTGGTGCTAAGAGGTTTTAGCTTCTCAATAATTCACTCTTCTGGCCGTGCTACAGAACATTTCACAACAAAAACCTCGGGCCTATTGAAACTGTCACAAGATATTTCAGCCACAAATTACAAAAGCTCAGTGCGAAGCCAAAAATGAGCAGGTTTATTGTTTGGCTGCTTTGCATAAGAAACATAAACCGTTCATTAACAATATCAGAGGATCATGGATCTCTACGGAGAGGGTTAATACACGAAAGTCAAGATCCAGCGGAGTCTCTTTGATTACCAGCAGGGGGCGACTTTCAACAGGGAAGTGTAATTGCATGAAGTTTTTTTGAACTTTTCAACTGCTCAGAATGATTTTTATTTGGAAAGTTTACGGTTTGACGAAAGTGAAAATGTTGGATATACTTCGAGGGCGGCTACAACAAGACTGTCAGGGCGGAAAATCAACTCTGAGGGTCTTTCCAAAACTGCCCCACACAGCCTCTCTCTGCTTCACCTCCCCTCTTCTTGGGCTCACTGATGCTGGCTAACACTTCAGGTCAGCATCGACACTTTCATTAAGATTTTACCACCACATTCACACACAGATGTCAAATCTCTAATTCAGTCATGAATTCTTTCCCTTCCTGGTCTTAGAAACGTCATGTTTTTACTTATTATGTTTTTAGGAGTGAGCGGTTTACAAATAAATCTGATTATAAACGCCAAACTGAAAATAACTCAGACTTTAAGAAGAAAGAAAGGAAAATGAAAAGACTGTGTGGACAAAAAAATAATGTTTGAATGAACAAATGAATTAATGACTGTGAATAAATATATAAATTAATGAATGAATAAACGAGTGAATGGCAGTATGCGAGTACAACCATGGCCGTTTGCGGCACTACATGGATGAATAAATAAGTAATAAGCCACATGGATGAATGAATGAATGAATGAATGAATGAAAGAATGAATGAATGAAAATAAGAAGGGATTAAATGAATGACAGCCGAACTATGGGCATACGTTAGTGGATGAATGACTAAGTTAATGTTTGAATGAATGAAATAATAAATGAATGACGATCCAATCATGATCACTTATGGTACCAAATGAATGTATCATGTCACAAGAGTTAAACAATGGTTATGTAAAAGTGAATGGATGAATGAATGAATGAATGAATGATAACATAATGACAGTCGAACCCTTGTCACTTCTGGCACAACATCAATAAATAAATGAATATATGAATGAATGAAAAACAACCTTATGAGAGTCGTGAATTAATGAATGAATAAAATTAACTAATGATGTGATGTAATAATGACGTACATTCAGAATGACTGGATGAATTAATAAAAGTCAAACCAAGGTCACTGCATAAATAAATAAATAAATGACTAAATGAATGAATGAATGACTGAATGAATGAATGAATGAATAAGAGTCAAACCCAGGTCACTCATGGCACTGCATAAATAAATAAATAAATAAATGAATGACTGGATGAATGAATGACTGAATGAATAACTGTATCATGACTTGTGTAGTTAAAAAATCAGATATGATGATCTTTCTCCTGAGCCTCCAGAGTTTGAGTGTGTCAATGTTTTCAATGAACTGTCTCCACCTTCGGACAGACGGACCACAGACGGACATGAGGCTCACTGTTTCATCTGAATTTCACCAAGAAAGCAAATTTCCCAAAATGAGGAGCTAATTCTGAAAACAGAAAACCTTGGAGACCTCCAGATCATCTCTTCATACACACATTTAATGTTTCGACGTGTAGAGAAAGTGCGTTACCAGGAAGGTGTTGCTGCAGTGTCCGCAGGAGACACGGGCTCCGGCTGGCTGGGGGTCAGGACTGGCAGGACCAGGATGAACCGGGCCGAGATTAATTATCCTCTTACTGAAAGATACAAAAGTCAGACACTGGAGGTCATACTCACATCATGACTCAAGATAACATTCAACACAGCGCCAGTTATTGTTATTCCGACTGTGGGCAGGATTAAGGTAGTTAACAGATCCAATCCTCTCATTTACAAATCACACCGCTTTTCCCAACACAGCTACAGCCGTCCAGAACCACTGATCCGACAGCAGCAAAGAGAAGTGTCTGCTTCAGTCAGCATGTCTGGTTTGGATGCAAAGCAGTGCAAAGGGAATGTAAACTCTCCGGAGTATTTTAATGTAGAAAAATATGCCCGCAGGGGGAGATGGATAACCTTTGGTCAAGTTTAATAAAGCCCGGAAGGTCGACAGTTCCCACAGACGCAGAATGCAAAATAAACCATGTTGGTTATAAACGGGAGAGTTTGTGATTTTCTGCATGCGGACTGGAGAACCTCTTTAAACTTTTGAGCAAACCTGTGACCAAAAAACAAAGGTCTGTTGACGGGATTTTCAAACAAAGATGGAAAGTTTACTAATGTTGGTTTTATACTGAAGAGTCATCATGAGATAAGAGATTGTTGAATTTTTGAGCTACTTAACTTTGATTTTTTGTTCAAACTATTTAAAAAAAATCAGCAGCAATCATCCAGTCTTAAATTGAAGCATCAAATCTGCGCTAAAACTCACACTGACTCGTGTGTGAGCTTCAAATTGAACACATTTACCGTAAACAGCAGCAGAAAATTAACCCTCTAAAAAAAGACGATGGTTAAAACTGTCGCGCTTACACATCTGACACCCGGGGCATAAACAAGGAGTCTTATCTGTCTCACCGATTACACCAGGCTGCAGCAGGATGATGTTCAGATGAGCTGCCAAAGTCATTCGCTGTGACTGACATCAGCTTGTTTTTTTTTACGACACACATTCAAACACTTTGGCATCAGCTGGACCTGCAAAAAGTCTTTTATGCTTTTCTTGACAGATGGCCCCTGAAACTTTTTTCTATTTCAACCCAAACACTGTTTGAGTTTTTGGCAGATTTATAACTTTTAGACCTTTTTCAGGTTTGTTTTCTATCTTGAAGCTCTTTTGCTCATTCTGCTCCGTCTGCTCTTGTCAAAGCGAATTCATCATTTAATCCCAAGGCAGGGAGAGCAGCAGCAAAGATCCTGAAGAGAGCTGCTGCATCAGATTATTTCAGATTATAATAATGAATCACACCCAGTATATAAAGTAATACATACTGTGCTACATGGCGTTACCTACACTGACTCTGCGCCCATACAGCTGAGGTGAAACACGATATGTGGCTGTTTTAATGAAGCCGTTATTTCCTCATCCGGCTGGCTGAGCACTGCATGTAAACGGCGCTGGGAGCACAGCCTTAATTGAGGAACTGCTGCTCCCATCGCACCTGGTTTCCTCTGCTTCATTTGGCTCTCACGCAGACATGCAGTGTTCCAGCAGTCTCACGGTTGACACACACACACAGACACACACGGGCACGCACACTTGGAAAGGATTTCTCACCAATATGGCCGGGGACAGGCGATCCTCTGGGAAGTGACTTTGCAGATGAGCAGACAGTTGCAGGGGCAGCGAACGTACTTCTTCCCTGCTGGGGCGTTCTTAATGGGCTGCAGAGGGAAACAGAGACACACAGGGGGAGGAAGAGGAGAGAGGAAACGAGGTATTAGACCAGGAGGAGATAACAAACCAATTATTCTTGACGGGCAAGAATTTAACCAATACTATGTGAGGGAGAAAGGTGTGCTGGGAGTTTTCAGAAGTGGCTCTGCTGCAGTCCCAAGTGAGGAAAACTCACGACTCGTGACATTCATGATTTCATTTGCAGGTTCAGCTGATGGTTGGAGATGAATCCTCGAATGGACACATGATTACGTCTGTACTGTAAATGAAAAGATACTGGTAATTAAAAGACTCAGGCCTTCTTTCTTTTCTTTTTCTTTCTTCCCTTTTTCTTCTTTTTTCACTTTTTTCTTCTTCCTCTTTTCTTCGTTTTTTCTTCTTTTCTCCCTTTTTTCTTCTCCCTTCTTCTTCTCCTTTTGTACTTTTTCTCCTTTTCTTCTTTACTTCTTTTTTCTTCTTTTCTTTTTTCTTCTTCTTTTCTTCCTCTCCCTCTTCTTTTCTTCTTCTCCTTTTTTCTTCTTTTCTTCTTTTCTTCTACTCCTTCTTCTTTCCTTCTATTTTCTTCTTCCTTTTTTCCTTTTTTCTTCTTCTCCTTTTCTTGTGTTATTCCCCTTTCTTCTTCTTTCTTCTTCTTCCTCTTATTTTCTTCTCTTTTTTTTCCTGTCTCTTTTTTTCTTCTTCTCCTTTTCTTCTTTCTTCTTCTCCTTCTTCTTTTTCTTCTTCTTCTGACTCGTCTCAGTGTGGAGAATATTCGGGATAAACGGGAATCTGAGGTTGGACAGCTTCATACACAACAATTTGTGTTTGTTCTGACACCTTCCCACCAGAACCAGCGTGAGTTTTTTCCAACAGGTTGAGCTCCAGTAGCTCCTCTTCGCCTTGACCCCTTTTTGTAGCTATTGACCGCTGCAGATAGGAAACACCCCACGAGAGTGCTGCAGTTTTTGGAGATGCTCAAGCCGTCACAGTTTGTCATCCTTCATCGAAGTCATCCACATCCTCGTTTTCCTGCTTCTGATGCCTCAAAACATCAAGTAGGAAATTTCCTATTGCTGCCTGACTTTTTGACCTGCTGACAGGTACTACTAAGAAGAGAAAAGTGTACACTTAACCTGTCGGGGTCTGAAAACGATACTGAAATACTGACATGTATCTGAAGAGGAGTGTCCCTGCTTCAAAACCAGGCAACTATCTGTGTGTCTGTGTTGGTTATTTCATCTCAAGAGTAAGGAGCAAAATTAAAAAGAGGAGATATTTCTTTTTCTTATCATCTGCCGCGTGACTCTACTCTCTGAGTGACCAGGTGAAAAAGTCTATTTTCTATCATCTCACTGAGTCACAGGGAACCGCCGGCCAAAATCAGTCATCAAGGACATCATCTGAGCTCACACAGAGAGGAGAAACCTTAATCAGAGTTTCACCCGAGCACAACTACAGGAGTCAGACACTTTCCTCTGGGCTTAATAGAACATCCTGCTGTCTCTCCTGCTGATGGCTCTCTCCTCTGCTTCATTAAACTCAGACTAACCACATCGGATGGAGTCCTGCGAGTTTCCTGCCCCTTGATCAATTTCACTTACACCAGCTATGGGAGGCAAGTTTGTCAGAAAAAATAGTTTTCTTACATGTGATCATTAAAATGTGTTTTTACACAACATAACACAGAAGTCCTGAGGCTAATCTGACTTTCATGAGCTCAACAGTTCACATTTTTAAAATAGTTTTTTTTTTTTTCCAGGGATGCGGATTAGGGGTTCTCTGAGGCAACAAATACAAACAAATATTAAAAATTCCTCTTTACCGGCTGGTCTCGGGTGAACAAACACTGAGAAAACAGTCAGAATTGGCAAAATTTGTGTAATCCACCTTAAGACGGGATCACAGAATCTCTGGGTAAACAATGCCAAATTGGTCTGCTGAGTCTTCAGTCCTCCTTGGCAAGCACAAACAGATGCCATCTGTCGTCTGTGCTTGTTTACATCCAGGTAGGAGAGCATTATGACATTATGGCTGCAGTTTCCACAACATACGACCAGCATTTAAGGCTTACAATAATAACATATTTATAATTTATCTGACTGACAAATATTTAATTGCCGAGTTAAACAAACAGGCACAGTCGCTTTTTGGCCTTTCAGTCACATCATAGCAATACTTGTTTACATCCCAACTAAGGCAACGGCTGAAGTTCCGTGTGATGTTCTACATGATACTGTTGCTAGGATACAGACTCAACATTCTGAGGCACTTGACAACCATGTCACCCTCTCCTCTCACCAGACTGGATTTACTCAATTTGTCCTACCAAAGAAAACCAAAAACCTGGATCTACTGTATGTCAACGTAAAGACGTGATTAGACGCTCCTACTACTCTGGCGGTGCGAATGACGCGAATTGGGCGTCAGTTGCAAATGTCTCAACTTGAGCGGATATTCACGTCGTGATAACTAATCAGCACAAAGGTTGCCAGGTAACGTAGGAAAACGGACGGTTGTTCACTCGTTGTTCACTTGATCCCGCCAGTTGAATTGGCAGGGATTACTGTTGAAATTACCGTTGATGCGTGAATGACACGAGTAAATATTATTCATTCACGCGTCTAGATTCGCACGAATTAAGCGATTAGATTGTTTTTACTTACGCTTGGTGTGAGCGCCCCTTTATACTGCATTACCACCACTGGGCAGGTCGGATCATGACTTGGTTTACCTGCAGTTAATCTGAGATTCCAGATTTCCCTTTGGAGATCATTAAAGTTCTTGTATTGTATTATATCCTTTAGACTCGACAGCTGGATTACCAGAAATGGGGTATAAGTCTTCAGGAGCTCGACACAGTAAACTAGAACTTTAAATTGCGTCAGCGTCCAAATCGAGGCTGCCTGCTTTTGTTTACAGGCCCTACAAAACGCCTCATCAGCCATTCTGAAGCAACAGGTTGAATTTACACCGTCTGCACAAGATTAGGATAAGTCTGCTGAGGGAAAAACAAATCTGACCTACAGTCTGTTTCGGAGTAAATAAATAAATAAGAATTACAGATTTACAGTTTGGCATTAAAAGACCAGTCTTTAAAAAACATGAATGACTGAAGCAGAGAGGTAGGTAACAAGACTGGTTTCAGCCAGCTTAAGCTTCTTTATTTGTTGTTTTGTTGCTATCCTTGTGCAGGTACAGACTGAGCAGGTATGGAGCAAAGGTCACAGGTCAGATCTGAACTTTTTAATTTGAAGACCATAAAACTCACGACTGCTGTGAATTTAAAGGGGAGGTGAGTGGAGAGGATGCAGCACAAGGGTCATCGTCAGGCTGTTGTTCGTCTTACACTGAATTTAAATGCATTATTCTGTGTTTGTAATATACATATACAGTCTATTTAAAATCACATGTAGCAAAAAAAAGACCTTTCCCACAGTGTGGACGTGCTCTCTGTATCTGAAGTCTTACTACATAATTATTCCTTCAGCAGCAGCTCATCCCGTGTCACTTCTTGTAATTCCCCTCATGATTACAAACATTAATCACTTCTTTTTGGGCTATCTCAATCAGCGCCACTAAAATAAGCGTTTAAGTTGTTTACTCGCACCAACTCAGCGGACGGTCACCCCTCTCTGACTGTCAAATTAGAAGAAACGGTTTTCCTCACAAAGTGTCTGAAACATCGGGTTAATTAACGAGCGGGGAGTGACACAAACCAGAGCGGCCCATTAACACCTAAACGGAGCCAGAACTTCAGACTAAATTACACTAAAGAAAAAAAAACTGTTATCCCGCTGATAGTACAGGAACACATTTCACCATCTGCCCACCCAGCCTCACCTACGAATGTTGGAATCAGGAGCTGCTATCTGTCACAGTTTACGGAAAATGAATTGGTCAGTTTAACCCCTACAATCCACTCCTTTAGAGCCATGCTAATGTAGTGAGGTTTGGTTTATTGTCTTGCAGAAATATGAAGGTCTTCCCTGAATCAGTCATTGTCTTCATGGGAGTAAATGTTGGTACAAAACCTGTAGATCTTGTTTAAACTTTTCAGATGTAAAGTACCCATATCATGGACACCACAAGCAACTTTCAATAATTTGCAAACTGCTACATTTATTTTGTCAACATCGTTCCAGTTTACAGGAAGTTAGAGTCATAATTAACCATATCAGCTGATTTAAACTATTTATATCAGCAATATGGCTAGGGATCAATATTTTAATACACGTTTATCTGATTAAACGTCCATCTTTAATGTGAAAAATGCATGTTTGCAGATTCAGACTCATTCTACATGCCTAAAAACAATCTCATCTACAGATCTGTGGGAACAATCTACCTGGATTTGTTCACACTGTACATTTTTCTGTGCATATGTTCCTCCATCTGTAAATTACTCTGAATTTCGAGCTGTACATCTGGACGTGTTTCTAATTCTTCCTCCATCTGTGCGCCGATATACAGAGCTCATGCAGCACACATGGTGGGCTTGTTAAAGCAGCAAACCTGTCGAAAATAATCTCTTTCCCGGCATAACTCTCCTCTTATCCGTAAATAGATTATTTTCCTGTGTGGCGCCCGTGTCTTCAAAGAGATAATTAAAACTTGACAATTAAATTTACCTTCACACGACTTTAATTTCTCATTTCTCAGAGGAGCTGAGCGGCACATTATCTGCTGTATCTCACCACACCTGATCAGTTGCAGCAGATTTTTAATTAAAGGTATCAAAAAGAAAACTCAAGTGTTTCAATCTCCAAAGAACGGTAATATCAGTTAAATTACAAAAGAAAAAACACTGATGAGATTACTGTCAAGGTGAGTGTTTCTGTACTTTTTTTGTTCTGGGTTTTAATCCGTCTGGGCCGAGACACTGACGCTTTGATTTAAACTTTAGACGGTCTGACTGACAGGATGAAATTAAAATGTCAAAGCTGTAACATTAACTTAAATTTGACTGACTGGCAGAGTGAGATCTTTTTTTTATACTGAGCTGTTTATTTTAATGCATGGGTAGTTTAAAAGGATCATAAGGACTGCTCACGGTGAGTTTGGTGGATTAATCCAAGTATTCAAGATAATAAAACTATAAACTGTTTGTTGGTTTTCCTTTAACTTGGAGCGATAACACCATGAATACAATAAAATCTGGATTTTTACTTTTTCATAAACAAAAGCCTGAAAAAAACTCCACCTCACAAGCAAATCTTCCAAAGATAAATTAACAAAATCCATTTTTGGGCAACACAATTATTTATACTAATCTTAAAGGGATGTTTATTGGACTAATCGGTTTTCAGCACCACAACAGCTAGACAGTTTTTTGGAAATAAACTGAGCTGCACCTCTGCCTTTTTTTGTCAAGAGATATTTGAATTGGACAAGAAGCTTTCTAACTTGGTACGACTGAGTGTTTAAGAATAAGAAGAACTTCTTGATCTCTGAAGGGAAATTCAATTGTCTGTCATCTCATTTGGAATGTCTCTAAAAGTCATGTACTATTTACAGAAGAGTTGTAAAGTTGTAAGGTTGTAAAGATAAGTGGAAGTGGGTAATGCTTTAGGGCACTCCCCTCTCCTCCCTGTTGCCCTGTTGTATATAAATAAATACAGTATCGTTTTCTTTGTATAAAATTATTTATTTTAAATGATCATTTTAAAAATATTTTCGGTATTTTACGATCTTGGGCCAGTGACCAATACAGGCACTCATAATCCATGTGTTTCTTTTAATTTGTTAGTTATCATTATTCTCATTATAACTATATTCATAATCTAAAATTCATTTTCATTCTTAATGAGCTAAATAAAACTTCACTTAGGCCCTTTATTGATTTTATTGTTTTTTCCTGCTCATTTTTGTTATTTCATTTTATCATTAATATCACCATCATGATTATTTTATTATGATTTTATTAGGATTATTAATACCCTCTTTCATATTAACTATCCTGTTTCCTGCTTTTACCCCCCTTTTTTATTACACTTCTTTTTCTTACCTATTTTATGTTTTTATTCTGGTCCTCCTTCTTGGTATTGTCTGGGTTTCTTATGACAAATGAAATTGGCCTTTAATTCAGAGGCCTTGTTTTAACTGAGCTTTTGTTTTTATTTGTTTTTATTTCCATGTGCTGATGTTCTGTGCTTTGCAACTGTTTGTCAAAGCACTTTGTAAACTTCTGTTTTTAAAAGTGCTATAAAAATAAACTTATTATTATTATTAAAGTTATTAACTCTGTGCAAGTCTGAGTCACAGACTGACAAAGATAACAGAACACAGAAAAACATGCATACTGATCAAAAAAGGTTGTAAAAGTCTTTTTGAAGATCACTCAGATGTATCCTAATAAGGTGCTTCGCAGGATCTATCTTGGAAGTTATTTATCATAAATCCCAGTTTAAATAAAAACCATGTGTGTAATTAAAACACTTTTGTTTTTTATTAGCGTAAAACTTCATCTAAGTAAAAGATAATGGTCATGTGTTTTGTGAGTTACGTGTGTCTGTACTATCTCCTCTAAAACCTACCGTAGCTTCATTGCAGACCCCGCACTTCACCACATGCTGGTGGATCTTGCCCTCTACAGAAATCAGGCTCTGGCACACTCTGCAGCTGATAACCGGGGCGCTGCCACTCTCCGGGGAGGTGAGAGGGGAGTAGGGTGGAGGGTCTTCCCCTAGGAGCACTGAGGGCTGGGTAGGGTTGGGGAAGGGAGGGAAGCCTGCACACAAAGGGAGACATAAGAGGGCACATAATGAATAAAAAGTTTGTAAAACAAGTCGAGTGTGAAGAAATGATGAGGACACCCAGTCCAGGAGTTGTGTAATGGACTGTAAAGAAAGAAAAAAAACCTAAATACCCATGACAAGTAACCTCAACGCTGTGATTAACAAGATAATAAGATTTGGTCTCGAGTTCAACTGAAAGGAGCTTTACTAGAAAAACTCTCCTGGAATGTAGAGCAGGGTTAGTCTCAACCAATAAGAGTCTTGTGAGAAACAGAAATCAGAGTAGTTCATAAACGGGACAGATTAATCGAGAAATCTTTTGCAAAATACTGAACAATCTGCTCCACATTTCCTCTACGCAGAATGATTAACAGTTTTACAGCAGTCTGTAAGAGCACTACATACTCCTAAACCATATCTCATGTCTTTTCCATTAATGTAGTAAAGGCAGTCCCACCCTATAGGGGCTGTCATTGGTCCTTGCTCGATGTGGGAGCATCCCTCAGCAGCCTCCGTAATGGATTTCCCTTCAGTCAATCACATCAGGTGTTTCTCAGATGCTAAATGGCTAAACTTTACAGTTACCTTGCTTGCTAGTGGCGGTTATAAGACACAAAACGATGTGTGTTAAAATGCGTACATAGAATACATTATAATGTTAATCTCAGTGGGCTACAAACGTTGATATTTTGCGGGTTCTCTGCTGGTGTTCTATCGAGCTTTGCTTCATAGCATGATGTGCTGCTGAGTAGTTCTGCGCCTGCGCGCCGCCACAATCGAGCGATAGCCGCCACTTCATGTGCTACTTAATAGAGAAATAACACCTAACGGACTGTCTTTTCTCGAGTTATGAAAGAAAAAATCGAACATGAATGTTTGAAACACGCTTTTTAAATTCTGTCAATGAAAATGGAGGGATACGCGGTGCGATATAAAGTGGTAATACTCTGAAGAAGTGTTATACAGAGTTTCAGTTTATCAAAATACGCTTTTTTCCCAACTTACAAACAACATCTTAAAAGTACTGTACTAAAACAGTTCTCCTACCCTTATTTCTTTCTTTAAAGCATGACTCAACAGCGCGAATCAACAGCATCTATTACCGGTGGCACTGTTTGGCAAAGCAGCACAATTTGCCGAAACACCGGTGCTCAGAGGCGCTAGCTGCCAAGCTAAAGTAACGGTTGCTAGGTTAGCAGGCACAACGCTGCTTCCCCCAATCTCTGCTTCTGAAAACATCATATTTCACCTTAAATGTGATGCTGATAGATAAACATTCACATATGTTACAGTTCACCTTCATAAAAACAGTCACGACAGGCTAAGGCACATCTGACTGGCAGGCTAACCAGAATGCCCAGTCAGTGGATGCTAACCTTAAGCTAGGCTAAGTCCGGCTGGAGTAAGGTGGAGGAGAGGGCTCCATGGATACTCACTCTGAGGTTTGCTGGGAACACCGTAAGGTGCCGCACCCGGGGACACCCCTCCGGCACCGCTGCCGAGAGCGCCTTCTCCCAGATCTGATAGTAGGGGGGACCTCTCGCCGTCCGCCATACCGAGAGCGAGGCGTGGAGGGGGAAAGTGGGGAGAGTGAATGCAGACCGATACGGTGTTGTATTGTTGTGTCGGAAATGCAGGCGTCACATGATCGAACCACCACTGCCGTTAATGCTGCTGCTGCTGCTGCGGTAACGGGGCGCGGAGGTGTGGCTCCGGTCACAGGGATGCTCCTCAAACCCTGAGACCAGAGGTGAAACAAATACAGGTTAAAAAAATAAAATTAAAGGGATGATAAAAACCCAGTTAGTCCTCGTAGTACGGTGGCCGACAACCGCCACTGCTGTAAATAAAAAAAGAATGCAAAAAAAAATGATGCAAAAAGAAAAAATAAGAAAAAAGAAACGTGCAGGTTAAAGGTCCTTACACACTGGGGCCAATGCAAATATAAAAAGCGAAATTATGAAATACTCGTAGGCGAATTTTTACGCACCTGACTATACACATCAAATGTGATGCGATTTTGCGACTTTCCGGGGGGGAAAAGATGCGTCCCGGGTGGAAGCGAGAAGACTGACCCAACAGCAGACTGAGTGTTTTTCAGTTCTGATTAGACTCTAGTGTTGAGATGACTGTCTGTCATGATAGCATGTACTGAGTCGGGGCCAGTACCAGATAAGCACATTAAACTATAATCCATAAACGTAAGGTAACAACCATTGTATCTGAACAGGTTAGCTTTCAAGCTAAAGTTACTTAGCACAGATGAAAGTTAAACAAAGACGTTTATCAAACTGTTAAAGAACACAAACCATCGTCATATGAGAAATCCGACGCTATGACTCTCCACAAGTTGTCCTTCAGGTCGTTATCTTTGTAATATTTGTGTTTTTTATCAAAAATCACTCTGTTCTTTAACACGTAAACAATCAGCCGGTCAGCCATGTTGGATATACCGGTGAATTAGATGTCGAAAAAAATGCAAAATGCAAAACTAAACTTAAAACTTAAAAAAAAAATAAATGCAGCAATTTCGCAGGACAGGAAAATGTCGCTAATGTGAACGTTTGTATTGACAGGATACCGGTTCGAAAAAAAAATATTGACGTCCGAAAGAATCGCACAACAAAAACGGTCTCGGTGTGAAAGGACCTTTGAAAAAAGCAACAACAGTAGTTAAAAGAAAAAAAAGTTACTCACTGCGAAAATAAAATGATGCAAATTAAAAAAAGACATAACAGAAGTGAGCTGCCTTTTGCAAATTAACCTCATTGGTTCGAGAATCTTCAGCCTGGATTTTTTATTTTAATACCAAACATCTTTCTCATTTTATCACCTCTATCTCAATCTTTTTGAAACTTTTTTTTCTGATATTGAGTTTATAATGAGCATATGTCTAACACAAAACAATTTTGACATTTGGTATTTTGTCTCTGCACTGTTTTTGATTAAGTAAAGACCTTAAATAATGTGCAAACCACCAAAATAGTTTTTAAAGTTAGTTTAAATATTAATATTTACAGTCAAATGCATCAAAGCTGAAGTCACAAGGGGGATATAAGCAAAGTGGTTGCAGAACAATGAATATTCAAGTACTGATCCATGAAAATCTCCTCTTCAGTGACCAAAGTTTGTTGCTTGTTTGTTAACTCTTGTTTTACAGTTGGATTTTCACTTGTTTTGTATGATTGGTTTTGTGTTGCAAAATCAGCTTGACTCAAGTTACTTAACATAGAAGAATTTTATAATACAATTTAATTTGCATTTCTTACACAAGCCCTGAAACAAGCTCTTTCTACAGTCCAGCTGAAATGTACAGGATCAAGTCAAAGACCCCAAATACAAAGACCAAAGTCCCTCCAAAGTCCAAGTTATTAGGCCTCTGAAATATTACATTACAAAATCTTTCAGCATAGAAATGATTTAAAGCTTATAAGAGTTTAACTGTTGACAAATTGTTTATTAAATTAACTCTGAAATCAGCTTTTAAACATCACATTCAATCACTCATGAACAGTGTGTGCGGGCCGTCTCCTTCGTCCACTGTTTTCACATCCACTCTGTCATTTTTAATACTTGTTGGCTGCTGTTCTTCTGTCTTATTGCACAATGAGAAAATCCTCAGCGTGTTTGATCGGCAGAGTCACCTCCAGCTCCTCCCTCTCACTGAAGAACTGCGCCTTCCCCCCGCCGCTGTGGGTGGGATATGGGAGATGAAGACCCAGTTTGCTGAGGAGGGGGCGAGAGGGAAGGTTAAAAAGAGAGCAGGAAAAAAATCAAAGCTAAGATTACGACGTGAACTCTAAATGAAAGGACAACTCTGGAGATGGATGTTTGTAGTCTGAACCGTTGACGCCTGCCTTTTTGAGGAGATTAGAAATCAAAGAGAACGTTTCAAAGCATCACTCACTATTTTGGCGTCCGTAGATCAAGGAATTTTTCCTTTACATCCAAGGCCACCTCTTTTGCTTTAGTCTGTGGGAGTTTGATTTTCACCTGCAAAAAGGAAACAAACCATGAAAAGAAACAATGACCACATTTTCTATTCACAGTTATCACACATGAAGTTTATTTTGTACTTTGTAGATTCAAGACTTTATTCTTTTTACCTTTCTGTACATCATCTGGTTTGACACTAACCCTCTCACAGCAGTTTGAAGTATTAAAAATGACAACAGTTCAACCATCAGCCTTCTTGCTGATAGTCTTTATGTCATTTGAAGGTCATAAACAGTCGTCCCTATCAGTTTTAGTCTGTTTTTCAGTTATAAAACTCTTCATAGTACCTTTAATAGACTTAGTAAATAAAACCACAGAGTCATTTCCTCAGCCAACAAGAAGTGATATGAGGTATTCTTTTTGTTTTTGGAAACATCACAACAAATGTACACACATTTCAACAGTGGATTTGTAAACTGCAGTGATTATATCATGTGTTGTTGTGATTTTATTTGGTAAAATGTGATATTTCTTTCATTTTTATTCTGACATGGACTTTAGTGTCCAAAACTCAGGCCTAAAATGAAGCATATATTATGTATTATAAGCTCTGTGAGTCAGAAAATAAGGTTGTACTTAAAATTATTTGGCCAAAACAGCTCACACTTAATTACCAGCATGGCGTCACAGCACATGGAGGAGGGGTCCTTTCCATTCAAGCCCAGGAACAGATCCTCTGTCCCCACATTCTGCTTCAGGATTATCTCATACCTGAAAACAGAGGTATTAAAACACTCCTTATATTTAAATCTACTTACAGTAGAAAGCGCGGGGTCTATTTGTGACAAATAATCGCCCACAGGCAGTGTGTGTGTCTCTCTTACTCCGGCTGTGGTCGTGGGTCAGAATGATCATCATACTGGGAACCTTCAGCCACCTCTTCCTCACTCCAGATGTCTTTGCTGTTCTTCTTGATGTACGCAGAAGTCACTTCAAATCAATAACAAACACACACATATTTATGAAAATTACACATGTACAGTTTGACAGTTCACCTGAGTTATTACAGTGACTTAGTTAGGGGTCATGTGGAAATGTTAAATACTACCTTCTTTCTCTCTTTTAGGTGGGGGGCCGATGTGTCCAGGACCAAGGCGAGCATAAGATGAAACATTCTGTCCAGATTAAGAGATGTAATATAGCATGGTAGACAAAACAACAGCAAAACAAATGTAATACTAGGTTGACAAAGCAACTTACTATCCATATACTAAACATCTTAAAGATATCTCTCTTCTTTATCCTCCTTATATCTCTTAAGTCATTAATCAGCTATTTACATTTAGGCCTACTACAGAATAAATATATAGAAATCTGGGTAAATTAAACAAGGATCATTTCAATACTGGGTGTAAGACATCAACATTTAAATTCAACATTTTGATCAAACTTTAATCTGAATATTTATATCCAACATGAAGACTGAACTTTAATATTAGTAAATAATCATTTATATATAATAATTAGATAGAACTTTAACACTTAAATGTACATTGAACATTTACACACACTAGGAAAAAAGTTCACACACTTTGTTCCTAATGTGATAAGAGTGACTTGACAAATTTTCTACCACGTTTCTCAACGTTTTGGGGCTGAATTTGCAGAAATGTTGCTGTTATTTTAAGTTTGTGCAGCTTTACCATAATTATGTGAGTCTTTCTGTTAACTTACTTCACATTCATCATCGTCGTCATCCTCCTGTTGAGTCGATAATAAAGCAGACAAAGCCTGTAACTGTTGTACAGATGAAACACCGAGACCCTCCATTTAGTTATGAATCTAAATTAACGTGTTACTATTATTAAACTTTGCCTAGTTTTCCCCTGAAACCATTTAACTTGATGTCTATGCAGATTCACTGTGTGAAACGTTAGTGTTGACGCTTCTCGTTGCCCTGGAGACGACCGGGGCTCCGGCGCTGTCTTGGTAACCGGTGACGTCACAGACGGAAAGGAAACCCTCGACGATCGATCGTGATTTTACGTCAATGAATGAACGGGCGAAGAAAATCATACAGATGGAGGTATTTGAGGCCAAAATACACCAAGGTAGAGATGGCCGTGCGCATTATGTACTTGAACAATAACAGTTGGACAGTCCACTCCTGAATTCAGATAGGGGGGAGCGGGGTAGGATGAGCCATTTTTCATATTTCGGATCACTACAACAAGTCAATCATAGTTTTGTCTTTAACTAGTTTATCTGGATATATTTCAAGATGTTGTTCATCCCTGCAAACCAACAGAATGAGTGTAAACATAACCGTCTTGATAATATAGCATGCCAAAAAAAGTCTCCTATGGTCAACTTACCCCGTGTATGGACCATAGGAGCGGGGTAAGTTGAGCCATATCCCTACTACCCCCACACTCTCCACCCTAGCCCTCCCTCACCTTCTCTCTCCCTAAATAACAGTCACTTCTTCACATTCATGTGTATTTTTATCTATTATACGCTTTTAAACTGGTACAATAATTCTATTTATTGCATATAACTGCTAAATGTCTGTTTTGTAAAAAGCTGTTTTAACATGAGAATGTCTTTAAATGATTCAGAACATTGACAGCTGTGTTTTTGAAAAGAAAAAGTCAAACATTTCAAAAATCTGAACTGAAACGCTGATCCTCTCATCAGACTCCTTTACTTTCTCAGTTACCACAATAATACTATTCTGACTTTATTAGTCCTCTAAACTAAAATTGTGGACTTTTATTCTAGGTTTTGACCTCATGTTGTAGCTCCTAGATACCACAATTAATCTTAAAAAAAATTAAAATGATCTTTTTTGGTCTGAACACAATTCTAATAAAACCTAGACTAAATTCACTTTCAAGAGTGAAAAATGTTTTCATTTTTTTTTTATATATATAAATGTCTAACCCCGTCACTCAAGTACTTCTAACCTTCACAGACTCTATGAATTGATGCCCATCTTCTAAATATTTGGTCACATGATCAATTTATTTTACCATTTCTAAGCAACAGGGGTGGCTCAACTTACCCCAGTCTCCCCTATCGTTAGTCAGTTTTTTTTTTACTGAAAAAAATAGATGTTAGGGGCCAATAATATACAATAAGTGCCATTTTATTAGGGCAAAATGCTACTACTACAACTACTTCTGTGAACAAATTAATTTATAACATAGAAATTGTATATCATTGTGTAATGTGAATAACTTCTGGTCAACCAGAAATAGTAAACGTATCAGAAAAACGCTGAAAAGCATCGTTAGTGTCTGTGCTTCTACAGTAACTCAGACATGTAACAGGATTCAACCGTTAAGCCGGTGTTATGCCGTAGAATGCACCCCTTGCATCCCATCCCCTCGTTGGCTTCTTAAAGTGGAAGAAAATGATCCTATATTTAAAAAAACACGAGTATTAGATCTTGAAATCATGTCAAATAGAGCAGCAAACTTTCGTTCTGTTTGTATGTGTCTCAAAAATGCACATATAGAGGTGAACTTGTGTATAAACTGTACCGTTAGCTGTCAAGGTAGAGAACGTTATATTTTCGGGACAGCAAATATTCAGAATCAAAGGGCTGTTGTTTTTGGCTTATCTGAATAGCCTGAATTAAATCATTAAAGGCACACGCTTTTAAAACCATCCAGTAATAAGGAAAACTTGGATTATTTCGCCTCGTTATGTACTTTTAACCGCGCTCCCGTAAGGGGTGCATTCTACGCCACAACACCGGTGTTCTCGCTTCGACTATTCCGTCCCTGCCCGGGCGCCGTAGTTCATGCATGGCCAGCAGGGTTCATATTGAAGGTGACAGGTAGTAGTACAATGCCGGCTGCTCTGAGTTTGACACCGACCACCGTGTTCGCTGCTGCCGGGGACGGACAGGACGAGCCGACCACCTCCATCCACCGGGACGAGCTGTCTCTGTACACCGCTCCTCCTCCGCCGAAGTATGTGGAGCCTGAAGCGGGTCAGCTGGAGGAGAGTGTCGCCACCCTCAGGAAAGTTATGGAGCCGTACACGGACTGGTGTCAGGGGACTTACGGCAAAATCAAACCCAAAGTTCAGAGTGTGGTCCGCTTTGGAAACGACACCTACAACTTCCTGAAGAGCCCGCCCAAGGACTTCTACCCCCGGGCAGGAGTGATCGCCTTCACCGGAGTCCTGGGGCTGTTTCTCGGCAGAGGCTCCAGGATTAAGAAGCTGATCTACCCCACGGGCATGATGACCCTGACTACCTCCCTGTACTACCCGGAGCAGGCTGCGGCCATCGCCAAGTCAACCGGAGACTCTGTGTATGAGCGCGCCGTGCAGACCTACGCCGCCCTGGAGAAGACCCTGAAACCGGAGAAAAACCCCGAGAAGGTGGAGGAGAAAGACTCTGAAAGTAAACCCTGAAGGCTCCGAGAGTGATCCCTGCAATAACTTAGCAATAACAATCAGCAGCAGTTCCTCAAATTGTAGATTGTAGACATGCAGTGTGACTTCCTCATGCCCACTTTTTGCACTATGCTTTTACGAATTTAACTCAGGCCGGGCATGGTCTGTCACAACCTGACTGAACAGAACTTCTGCCTCTGATCTGAATGTATATTTATGTAGAGATTTATTAAAAAACCGCTGTCTTACATTATTAAAGTATCTTTGCTTGAAGACTGTCTGATGATTTAATTCCCCATATTTAACTACATACACTACAGGCCAAAAGTTTGGAAGCAAGATCAGATTTGTACCAGATCATAGTTTCATTAAAATACTTTGCAACACAATAAACATGACTATTGTGTGAAGAGTAACTTATCAGAAGACATTTTGACTGTAATTATTAGGTATTTGAGTTATTGTTGCTCAGACTTTGCTTTCTTTAAAGTAACCTCCTCTGGCTTTAACAGCTTGGCATATACCAGGCATTCGTTCCATAAGTTTTTAAGGTATGTTCCAGGGATTGCATTCCAAGCTTTCTTAAGTTCATTCAAAAAGAGACTGCTGATTCGTGGGACGCGCTTTTCTGACCGATCGATCCATTTCATCCCACACAAACTCAATTGGAGAAAGGTCTGGAGACTGAGGGGGCCAAGAACAAGAACAAGAACACCTTCCTCTTCTTTTTTGTCTAGGTAACCCTGACAGAGCTTGGCAGAGTGCTTAGGGTCATTGTCTTGATGCAAAACAAACTTATGACCCACAAGTCTGAGTCCAGATGGAACAGCATGGTGCTGGAGGATGGAGTGGTACTGTTCCTTCTTCATGATACCCTTTACTTCGAACAAATCTCCTACTCTATCACCTGCAAAACATCCCCATACCATGGAACTACCACCTCCATGCTGAATTGTGCTGATATCGGAGCTCATATCTGGTTGAGCTGGAGCAGAACAACACTGACAGTCCTCCTCAATAATTCGAAGTCCCGTATGTGGACTTCACAGGTTGTAAAATCACGAATTCTGGACAAATCCACAAGATTTACATCCCCGATGATGAGTCATGATTATTAAACTACCAGTGATCGCGCCTGCAGCTGTGTGACTGTTTTACATCTTTATTCATCCCAGCCAAAAAAAGAATACAAAATTAAATACAGATCACTCTAAAGAAACCACCTCAGAGCAGCACCAGCTTCTCATTCAAAGCAATCTGTGCTTGGGTCAGGTTGGACAGGTAGGTCACCATCAACAGGTCCTGCAACGACAAAACAGAATTCACAACATGGTCTTATAATCGGATTCCTGATGAGTATCACAGAGTTTGCCTTTTCTGCTAAAACAAACAGGTGAGGGCTGTAAAAACAAGAGCTCGGGGTGTGTGAATGGCTGTGTATGCTGGACAAGTACTTAGCAGAGAAGTATTAGACAAGTTGAGCCTGGAGAGCACTAAAAATAGGAAAGCAAAGTCTAATTAAATGCTTTCTGTAATGTGAGTGCCAATGCGCTGAGAACAAGCCTGAGAGCAGAGAGTAAATCAAGAGGAAAAGGGTGAAGGAGCTGCATCCAGCAGATGAGGAACTCTCCAGGGTGTTTGGATTCACGGGGTTGTTGATGTGAGAAACTGAATCATACTCCCGGCTGATGGGGCGCACTTACGTTGATGTTAGAATTGAGCATGTTCTCAAAGTCCTCGGGTAAGATGGTGGGCACCTTGTTGACCAGGTCCATGAGGAAGCGGCCCACACTGTTGTCTGCTGTCACTTTGCCAGACTGAGACAGATAGAGCTGAATTAACTCACAGACACTATTAGCGTTAAATGTAATTACTCTACAAACGATCCCCAGAGACGGACGGATTCATACAGAGCAGACTAGAAAAGGTGTCGATTCATCTTCATGTGCGCACGGAAACAGAAAGTCACTCACCAGCACATCCTCGATGTACGCCAGCACAGTGGCCAGCATATCCTGGACTCTGGCTGCAGAGCAGGCTACCTGGGACAGGTCGGAGGTCAGCCCCTTGGTGCGACTGGGAGTGACTCGTGTCCTCATCAGGAGATCCACTGAGAACAAAATACAGGTGCAAGTTTCAGAAGGTAGCGCTGCAATCTCAATGTTAACGGAGACTTTGATTGATCATGAAAAAATGAAACTATTGGATTGTCTTCAGAGGTCGATTTGATCAGGACAAAGTTTGGGAGAGTGAAGAATATCACAATATCAGAGGCATTTATGTACACTTCCACCCCAATCATGTATATTTCTTTGTCTTCTTTATTCTTTGTTTTCTTACCTCCTATCCTCTCGGTGTCGTAGTAGATGTACTTGACTGTCAGCGGTGTGAACATCACACCAACCGTTTTCCCGGGCACACCCATCTGAGCACTGCACACAGAGGATAAACAGTCACGTTCAAAGACACATCCTCAGTTTTTAAACAAAGCTCCTGGAGGCAGGAGGATCAGCCAACCTGACGTAAGCGCGGATGTTCATCTTGCCGCTCTGCAGAGCTGTGTCTATGGTCAGGTGGATGGGGTTGGTGGCCTCCCGGCTGTAGTACTCGTGAATGAGCACAGAGTGCTCTGTGATGTCAAAGCCTGTGGCATACCTGAGAGGAAAGACACCAATGAAGTGAGGAAACATGTCTGACCCTCGAAGATCTAACTTTGAACCTCAAATCCCAACAGCTGACGCACCATCCAACGATGACCTCAGTGGGAGACACCCTCTTGTGGAGCTCGTACATGTTCTTGGCAAACTCCATGTCCACAGCAACCTGTTAGAAAAGAGGGTAGAACTTGACGTATGATATTTCTTGACAAAATACCTCTTTTACTTGACAAGGCAATTTAATTCATTTATATGGGTCTTCCAATCAACAAAGCTGAATCTATATTCTCTCTTTTTCACTGAACAGAATGGCTATTCTAATCGAATTTCCCCTCAGGGATAAATACATTTCTTCTTCTCTTATTTACCCGAGATATTTTATTTCCCAGTTTTAAAACGATGTGTAAATTCTCAGACAAGTTTCTCTCCTAGAAGACAACTTATGATCCTGAAACCTGCCAGTAGGTGGGATGTGCCTGGCAGCGAGTGAACATTATGTCCTTAAAGGGATATTCCTGCGTTAAAATAATTTAGGGTCAAACACACCATAAAACCGAGTTGGACACCCTGTCGAGAGATGAATGTTGCCGACCGCTTGCTTCTCTAGTCATACCAACTTTGGTAACAACCGCAGGATAGCAATACACAGACGTCTGAGGAGCCATAAACAAACCTCAACCGAAAGGCCACTCTATAGCCACTAATAATGCTCAGAACAGCACCCTGTCTGTGACTGGGCTTACTCCTGCTTCAGACCTGTAACATCCCACAGGAACTGCAGTTTAGGAAATTTTCTGACCCACTTGTCCAGCCATCACAGTTTGGTCCTTGACAAGGTCGCTTATGGCTCCTCAGACTGCTGTGTATTGTTATCGTGAGGTCGTGACTAAAGTTGGTATAACTAGAGAAGCAAGCGGTCGGCAATATTCATCTCTTGACGGGGTGTCTAAATCTGTGTTACGCTGTGTTTGACTTTAACTTAAATTTACGCCTGAAAAAGTTGGAGAACTGGCTCAGTGTAAGGATGTAAGCGACTTTGTCAAGGGTCAGAAAATTTCCCTAAACTGCAGTTCTTGTGGGGTGTTTCTGGTCAGTGACGGACAGGGTCAACAGTATAAACGGAATAAGTTACACTGATTTTAAGGTTGGGTTTTATTCAGTCCTCCCCCCCACAAAAAAAAAACAGCAGGATTTGGCCAAACAAAGGGGTCCTGTCCTGTCTCCACCCTGCAGGACCACTTTCTGCAAACAAAGCTGACAGCTGTGTTCATGCAATTCAGTCCAATTTCTCCAAACATGCATAAAACACCGTGAAATGATGAATTTGATAAATACCTCATCCTCTGACTCGTTGTGTGGGACAGAGAAGCAGTTGGTCACTTCAATAGAGTGTTTGTCTGTAGTACCTGAGAGACAAAACAACAATACATCGTTATTTAACCTACAACTAAAGCACTGTAAGCCAGCTAAAACGCTTAAAATGATCACTCGCGACTTTACATCGTCAAAATATGAGAAAAACGATAACACTTCGTAGATGTAGGTTTCCAGCTGCACTTGCCAGAATCGGCATGCGTCAGGTTAGCATCCAAGCTAACGTAGGCTAACTATCCATCACCTGTTTTTATCACGGAGGAGTCGACCCAGCGGATTAATAATACTCCTAATTTTCCTACTCACCCAAAAGGGTCCCGATAACACGACTCGCACCCTCATTTCTCCGCTCGTAAGAGTCGCAGATAGAAGCGAGAACCACCGGGTGAATTTTCACCACTGGCCCGTAAACCGACATCTTGGAAAAGGAGGAGTGACGGTCAGCGCCGGCAAAAGTTATACCGCCACCCAGAGGCCGGCGGTGGAACAGCGCTCAGCAGTAATGACGCTAATTTAACAACAGTGCTGATGAGAGGACAACGGAGAGGGTATGGTGGCCTGAGGACTGACAAACATTAAATTAAAGGTCAAAATATTTTCTTAACATATAAAGTTAATGAAACACACACATTATTCATCAATTCACAAAACTTATGATAAAAATATGACACAAAAGTGCTAAATTAAAAGCAAAACTACATTTTTAATGCAATATTTTCACAGCTAAAGAAATATTTACTATTTTGTGAAACAGTTTTGTGCGAGAATAAATTTTTGCTTTAAAAGACTATATTTTTATATTTTTCCATCTCTTTTTTGGTGACTTTTCCTTTCTTTTTTGTATTTGATAAAATATGTTTGATTTTATTAAAAGCATGCATTAAATAATTTACAACATTTATTTTTTGATTTTTTGTGTATTTTTTCTTTTTTATCATTATTTTTCGGAAATGTTTTTATCTGCTTATTTGTAAAAGAAATTCATGTGTTTTTTAAATAATAATTAAATATTTTTTCTCACATTGCTTTATTGTGAAATAATTTTGTTTTAAAATGGTTTTAAAATAAAAAAATGTATTAAAATTAATTTTTTGTTTGAAAAAATGTTGGTATTTTCTCACATTACTATATTGTAAAAAATAATTTGGTTTGAAAAATGTTGGTATTGTCTTTTAGTTTTGTTTTCAATGTTTAAGAATTATCTTTATGTTTTGTTAAACATTTTCACCTCCAGGAAAATATTCAGCCTTGTGGTCATGAAATGTTGGTGCAGTTTACCTTTGGGGCCACCGTAATTATCTGTAATTAATCGGTGTTTAAATGATTCACAAAGGCTTTTAAATCCTGTTTTGTTTGGTTTTAAGCCCTGCAGAGTCTTTTTCACGATCACATTTACGTTGCTTTTTCAGTTATTTGTCATCTACAGTAAATAACACTGAACTAAAAGGCTATTTTTCGTGTCAAATAGATAAATAAAAATATAAACTAATGTCTGTTCCTTTTTTTCATGTCTGAACGGTGTGCAGATGTCGTGGGTTCGGCAGTCAGCGTGGAGGAGGGAGTTTGTGTCCCCTCTCTCTGTTGTGGAGATGAGGATGATCAGAGGCAGGCTCGGTTTTGGGGGGCTGGACTCATGACAGCATCCTCCGCCGCTCAGTGGCTCCACACCTGACTGACTGTCTCCATCAGATCTACAGATGATGATGATGATGGAGCTCTCCGTGCTGCTGCTGCTGCCGGGTTCTTATCCTGTCGCCACCATTTCGCACGACCACTGCCTGACACATGTTCTCCTCCTCCTCCTGCCGTGGTAGACTGACTTGTTTCGTCTTGATCGTGGATTTTCATGTTCCTGTTTCCTCGCTCAGTGGGTGGGGGTGTTCCCTTTTCTATTTGTAGTGAATGCTGAGTGGTCGGATCGAGGTGGTCTTTTGTTTTCCTGGAAAAAAAAGCAGCAGGAGCAGGAGTGGACTGATGCTGCGTCGCTGGTAAACACCAGAAATGGGTGTCATTGAACCAAGACTGTGCGCCACGGTTCGTTCATGGACCAGATTTTCCTTTTCCTCGTGATCTCGATCCAGGTCTAACACAACTACAAGTTGCGTCTGTGAGCAGGTAAGATTTTTCTTTATTCATGAATCCACAGTCTTTAACGGTGTGCTTTCTGGAGCTCTGTTGGCAAGGCGATCAGACACCCAGTAAAAGCAGCGATTTCTGATCCATCTAGCAGGCGTAGTGCGTCATCTTGATTGTCACCATCAGTCTCCTCCTGCGTCCATCCGCCACTTGTCCAAATGGACGCACATCATTCAAGGCTTCAGGAGGCTAGGACTCCATTTTACAGTGCAAACATACCACAGACCCATCATGTCTCACTGTCCACATACATATTTAACTTAGTTCCAGTATATGGGACTTATGTAAGAAACCCTGTGGCAGGCCTGCAGCTCAGACCCACCACATTAAATATAGCTGTAAGTGCACTTGTAAAAAACACATTTGCTTGGACACGCACACCTACCTCAAGGTGCCTTATGAAACAAGCACAATCTAAGGTACAGTGTGCTCTGGATGGAAGATAATGCAAAAAGACAAGCAGGAGTGTCCTGACGTTAAAGCAGGTGTGAGAAAATGAGGCGCTCAGAAAATCACAGTATGTTCCAGTTCTCTAAATATTGTAATATTTCATTTCAAGTTTGTTAGAGTTACATTTCAAAGAGTAGAAATACGGTTTATAAGACGCGGCTGGAACCATGGAGACGACTCTTGACTCAAATGTTGTCATAGTTGGACATTTTTAGGAGTTACAGATGATTCAGGATGCCACACACTCTAAAAACTCTTTCTTTCTGGGTTATTTTTCAGATCCATACCCATTTCTTGGGTCATATAGATTCTATTGTAACACGATTTTAGGGTTTTTTGAATGGGTTAATGATTATGGATTATTTTTCAGAGAGTAACCCAATAATTGGGTCAGAACGTTGGGTTCCATTGACTTTACGTGGTTTCTAGGCCTAATGGCAATTAAAGTGACCTATTGTACTTAGACCTTGATTTTATATACAATATGAGATATATATATATATACCCTGTGAAGGAAACCCAATTCGGCCGCTTGTATCCACGATCTTGTTCTTTCAGTCATTATCCAAAGTTCATGGCCATAGGGGAGGGTCGGCACATAGATCGACCGGTAAATCGAGAGTCTCGCCTTACCGCTAAGCTCTTTCTTCACCACGACTGTTCGATTATGTGTCCGGATCACTGCTGACGCCGCTCCAATCTGTCTGTCGAGCTCAGCCTTAGAGATAGAGCAAGGAGCTTGGACACTTGGGAGGCGCTCAGAGTAGAACCACTGCTCCTCCACGTCGAGAGGAGTCAGCTGAGGTGGCTTGGGCATCTGGTTAGGATGCCCTCTGGACGCCTCCCGTTAGACGTGTTCCTGACATGTCCCACCGCGAGGAGACTTTTGGTTGGCCCAGGACCAGGCGGAGGGATTATATCTCTTGCCTGGCCTGGGAGCGCCTGGGAATCCCCCTGGAGGAGCTAGTGGAAGTGGCTGGGGTGAGGGCCGTCTGGGCTTCCCTCCTGAAGCTGCTGCCCCCATGACCCCGACCTGGATGAAGCAGAAGAAAATGACAACGATGATACACATATATATTAAATATTAGGGTAGCTCGTGGTAGCTACCCCACGAGACACATCTGTAAGGAGCGAACTACATCTAACCGTGTGGGTCCTTAGGCAAGACCCTTGGCGCTATGGCCTTCCTCATAACCATGAGTGCGTTACCACTGAAAGCCAAACCGGCTCAGACGTCGCCCGGGTAAACAAGGTCTGCAAAGCCCCCGAAAAAGCTCCCCAAATGTATGTATCAATTTAACCCAAGATCATGAGTCAAATTAACTCGAAGATTGGGTTAACTTGACCCTTAAAAAGGGTTACTGTGTCAACACAAAATTTGGGTTAATTTGAATAACCCGACATTCTGGGTCAAAATAACCCAATGAGTAGTCTGTCCCTTTTCAACCCTGGTGCTGAGTTGTTTTTAACCCAGAGGTTTTTAGAGTGTGTCAACTTGCCGTGTTTTATCAAGCCTAGAGTCAATGCAGGCCTGGTTTTAGAGCAGATAATGCTACCATCTGCTGAAAAACCTCACAGAGATGCATTTTTTTACCCCCCAGCAGGGCTAAGCACCTGCCCACAGCACCAAAACTACTACCAATTTGTTTACAGACTGTGATATGAGTGTTTAATTGACCCGAACTCCCATAGAGAATCTTTTTATGTCCATTTTTTAAGACAAATGTGATCATCTTCATTTGCTTATTCAGACGCTACAAGGTTCAAATGATAAAACCATCAAAGGAAATAAAGTCAAATTTGAGTGACGAGCAAACCAGAGCTAACCCATACAAATGTTTTGTTGCTCATCAATTGTTTAATCTCAACTCCTGAGACGAAACTTTTGTTTTCTCATTTTCATCTCATTTTGTGATCATTTGTTGCTGCTCTATTAGGAACCCTTAAAACAATAGATAGATGAAAAAGAGATACAAAGTCTGAGCAGTATTTGAGACGTAGGATAAACAGAGGAGATCTTAAGAACTCAAACGGTGATCACTGAAAGACAGAACTGAGACTCCAAAGGAGATGCAAGTCAGATGATCATAAGAAGTCAAACACTGATCACTGTGAGACTGAACAGTGTCCACATCTCAGGAGTTGACAAGGGTTAGAAAATGAACTGGTGCTCATTTTTATCTAGAGATGTAAATGATACATAATGGAAATCTCATTCAGGATTTTCAATTGCTATGGGAAGTTTCCTTGTGTTTATTGAATTAACTACTGATTCTGAAGTGTTCTGAGTTGAATTAAAGGCTGGGCGGCGGCGTGTGGAGCTCCCGAAGAGCGTCCTTATTCTTTGAAAACATCAATCGTCTGTGAATTACTGTGACGGATCATTGTGTTCTTCTCTATTTTATTCCAGGCTTCAGTCGTGCAAACAAATGGTCCAATCAATAGTCACTGGACAGAGTGTGCCATAGGGAGGCCATCAATAACACGCTAATACACCTGACACACACAAACACACACTTGAATATACACACACACGCACGCACACACACTCAGGCCACATGGCGCTGGAGAACTCCGTCTTCCCTTCGCGCCCGGATTCCCTCTCTCTCCCCGTGGACGGGAAGGGGGAAGGTGAAGATGTGGAGGTGGGTACCGAGGCCACCACCGCCTCCACCGGGGTGTTTAACCTATCGGAGGAGCTGGGCCACGTTGTCACCACGGAGACAGCGCCGTCCCCGCCGGTCGTGGCCAAGGGCAACAGGTCATTCCAGTCCAAGATGGCAGAGCGGGAGGCCACAGCGAACCAGCAGAGGAAGAAGACTCAGCCGGAGAAGGAGAGGGGCCGATTCGGTTGGGGTGAGTGTTCAAAAATGTAAGATGTGCTCGTTTCTTCAGACCGTGAGGATCTGAATGAAGGCTGCGGGTTCATCATTAATGAGCCTTTATCTTCTCCAGAGACCAGGAGCTATTGACCCGCTCCTCAGCCTTGGTTTTCTCCCTCTCTCCCCTCTCTCTCTCTCTCTCTCTCTCTCTCTCTTCACACAAACACTGGAGACAGACTGAACATGTGCACCTCCTCCCTGTCTCCATCCCTCCTGCTATAGTTGTGAAGCACCCTGCTGCAGAGCTCCTACCTCAGCAGCTCTCACAGATTTTTTATTTTTTCCATTCGGCTCCTCCAGGTAGATCATGTTTGCTCCCCTGACTTCACTTTTCATCTGTGTGGAAAAAAACAAACAGACCATAAAACCTCAAAGATGGTGAATTTGAGGAAAGAGCAGTTTGTCCAGAGTGACAGAGTAGTTTAACTCCACCTCCTCGAAGAGCAGAGACTCCTTATGCTTCTGATGATCAACTTTACAGAAATACCTGCCTGTATGCATGATAAATACCAGGATTACTGTACCTTACTAGTGCAGGCGCCCATGATGTTTACTTTAAACAACACAAATCACAGCTATTTTAAAACCTGAGAAAACTGAGACCACTGCGGCGTACACAGGCTGAGCTCTTTTAAATGCCAACATCGTGCTGCAGATATGGCGTATCCACCTTATTTGTGGCGACGGGAGATGAGAGAAATGGCGAATATTGAACATGTCTTCTACTGTGGCTGATGTCCACCTGTCACTGCCACTCCACAGTCAAACCCTCCTCCAGTGTTAGGGTCTGCACTGACCCGTTTTTGGTTTTAAATCACCACTTAAATTAGCTTTTTTGCATCAAGACTTTTTGACTTGTCAGGAACCTCGATTTCAACAAAACAGAAATAAGAAAATCAAATTTACTAAATTATAAAATGCTCTTATTAAAATTATGGCACTTGTGTTAGGGTCGCTGTTGACCCGGTTAGATCAATATCTAATTATTAAAGCAAAAATTGAAATCATAAGTGCACTGTCAGGCACCACACTGACAGTCAGATACTCTCACAATCATGTGAGATTTAGGAAATTCTCATTTTGCCTGATTTTTCCTGCACGAAAAACGTCAGCCATGTCCAGACATATGAGATCAATTCAGTATAGATGTCTGTATGAGGGGTATACTGAGAAAGAAAGGTCCAGAGGCCCACAACAAAAAATATTATAAGCAATTTTTTCATGGATAATGAAGCCTAACAAGGTCACGTAGAGATGAGAACCAAATTGGTTGATAGAGAAGTGTTCTTAGTGTAATTTACAGCTGATTTAAGACACTATTTAACATAGTGGGTGCGTAGTAAAAGCTAACACAGGAGGAAGGATAAGCAATGGGTTAAGATCGACACTGTGATAGTAATTCTTTCATTACGACAAACAAAAAAAAAAACATTCACTCTAGTCTAGAAGGAGACATTCCAGTTTCTGCTGCCATGCCTGTACAGGTAGGTTAAGTCGAATATATGCCACAGTTTGTTTTCTTGAGAGGTCTAGGAAGAATTATTTGGTTTCCAAAAACAGAGATAAACGATTTTTCCCAGTTTCTGAAATCAGGGTTCCCGCGCAAGCATGGAAAGTATGGAAGTAATTCGATCAATTTCCAGGTCTTAAAAAGTTTGGTAAAAGAAAGTAGTAGTAGAAGTATTTATGTTAACAGGCTTTATTACCACAGTTATAAAATACTGTTTTCTAAAATAGAAAAGTACGTTTTCCAAAAATAATTTAAAAAGTAGGATATGGAGAAGTATGGAAATTCCAACTGTGTAAGACACCTTTTAAATTTGGAAATGTTCACGTGCACAAACAGAAAAACAGGATCAAAACCAGGAAACTGACGCCTCTGCAAACACGCTCAGTATGACGACGCCTGCCGATGAGCACTATCTGATACCAGGGCTGGTGTAGCACGCAGGTATTGATGATGATTGTCTTTAAAAACAATGAAATATCGACGTACTAAAAAAAAGTATGTGCTGACACCGACTTCACAGTCGTGCTTATTCACACCGTCATAAAACAAAGGATGAAGAAGAAGAAGAAGAAGAAGAAGAAGAAGCTGCTGAGGGTCAGTTAGCTGTACCATCCCTCACAGAGATAAATTTCAAAATAAAGGCTTAGTTTGACCATGCAGGGATTAATGCAACCCAAATGCAAGACAGGAAAATGTCAAAATAAAAGCATGTAAAGAAACTCTCCCCACAAAAAAACAAAGATCTGCAGCAGCCTTACAGGTGTACACTAACTAAAGTTCAGTATTGTAGTTTTTCTCCTCCGAGTGTTTGATGACGCCGTCCTGTCGCTCTTCATCTCCTCTCTCTTCCTCACCTGTCTGTTCTCGTTCCTCTTATCCCTCCTCTCCTTTCCTCTGAGCCTCACGGCGTCTCTCTGAGCGCTTCTGTCCCCTGGCACCTTCCTCTGTTTACTTTCCGATCTCTCGCTGCGCCTTCATTCAACTCGCAGTCTTGAGTCGTATCTTCAAACGGCAGAACTTTTCAGAAATGTAGAAAGGAAGCTTTGTGCTGGTTGTGTTTTTTGAAGTTTTCCTTTTGAAAGGATTTCTCAGAACCAAAGGTTACGGGCCTGGGACATCTGCAGAAAAACACCTGAAATCTTGCTGCGGGTGTTTCCCACAAGGGCAAAATGTCGCATTTTTAGCTTTAGGCGTATATTTCTGTCTTCCTGACCATCACCCTGTTTCTCCTCCAGCCCGGGCTCGGCGTAAGAGGCAGCGCTACGTGGAGAAGAACGGTCGCTGCAACGTTCAACACGGTAACATGAGGGAGACTTACCGCTACCTGACCGACATCTTCACCACGCTGGTGGACCTCAACTGGCGCTGCTCGCTCTTTGTCTTCGTCATGGCCTACGCCGTCACATGGCTCTTCTTCGGGGCCATCTGGTACCTCATAGCCTACTGCAGGTGAGATCGCTGAGGACAAGTTTATATATGTAACAGAGCTGATTTCCATTATTCCACAGGGGGCGCCAAATTCAACACAGAAATGTTTGAATTTGACAAACCACCCATGTCTGGACGGTATATATGAAATAGTCTATAGTACATGGTTCCTAGTCTACCACATGGTTCCTGATGATCCCCACGCTCTTATACATGAGGACGGATGGGGAGTGAGGTTATCGAGTGGGCATTTTCCCATCACTGTCTGATTTACACTTCTGAGTCATGTAGCATCTAGGTTTGTGAAGCCCTGTACTTTTGCACAAGTTTAAACACATAGCACTTCCTTAAATATGTGGTTACTATGCAGACCACATACTTGGTGATCGCATTTCCTGCATTTCTACATTTCCAGAAATGCAGTTGGTCCATCTGTATGTTGTTCAAAAGATGCATGTAATGGATGCAAGGTAGTTAAGAAAACTTGTACAGAAGAAGAACAGAGGACTAAGGCTGTGTTCCAGTTACCTCGGAAGTCGGGGCTGGGAGTGATGTTGACAGCGTTCCTGTAAACAAGTCGGAAACCGAATCACTTGAGGAAGTGATTTGGTTCAGTACGTTCACTTAAAAGATTCTGTTCTTTTGAACGAATCATTTGCGAACGACCCAACACTATCGTCGGTAAGCTGGCATCAGTTGAGAGTTGGTGTTTGAGGGTCAAACAACCCACACCCACTCCACTCTCGCAGGTTTTGGACAGCACTCGATGCAGTGAACACTTCACGTGAGCGGGGGAAGTGAGTGAGTAAGGTAGTGGGTGAAGGGAGGGCCCTAAGCCCCGCCTTCCAAAGTTTCTGTTGCTATGTTGGACAAGCTTAAAATAAAGAGCCAGAGCCGTGTCTGCAGCTGCATCATTTATGGAGAGATATGAAAGTGCTATTGATCCTCCCAATAAACTCTTTGTCCAGTAAGCAAAAAATCATTTCTTTTAAAATATCAAACTATCTAATTAATGAAACCATCGGCATGGAAGCTGCTCAGAGATGGATGATGATGCTGCGAGCGAGACATTTCTGCAAAGTAGGCAAAAAAAACCCAGACGTAAAAGCAGATGACAAAGCAGTATTGATATAACGGCGTATTTCATCATGATGTGTTACCTCCTCGCTGGAAGATGTGTCTGCTGGATCCCCGCTCTAATTAGCTAACGTATTCTTCTCATAAAATCCTGACCCCTTTATATCAATAACAGGCCTCCTAAAAGTGTGCCAGAGAGCTGTCGCTGTTGCTGCAATCCCTCGGCCACCAACACGGGTCAATAAAAGTCATGGATTATATAAATGACTTACACCACTTTCATTAATTAGCTCTCCCTCGCCGGCTGGACTCGTGTTAATCACAGACATTAGCTGTGTACCGAGGAGCTTTAGGGGGAAATCTGCAGATTTGCAAAAAGCAGCAGACAAAGTGGAGATGCTCTCGGTGATGATGTATGACAGGATATAAGAGGTTTCTGCGAACACTGACATCATGACTGTCAGCCTAATCAGCACCATTAATCCGCTTCATTATAAAAACTCGCTGAAAGGAGAATGTAAATAAACAGTGAGGGATGAGACGCCTCACATGTACTTTGGCACCTCAGTTCTAAAATTATAAATCTTCTCACTCTCTGTCTATTTTTCCGTCCTGACACCCACTCCGTCACCCTCCCCTCCTTCTCTTTCTCACACATTCTCCGTCTTTTCTTCCCAAAGGGGCGATCTGGACCATCTGGAGGACGAGACGTGGACGCCGTGCGTCAACAATGTCAACGGCTTCATCTCAGCGTTCCTGTTCTCCATCGAGACGGAGACCACCATCGGCTACGGCCACAGGGTCATCACAGACCAGTGTCCGGTGGGCACCATGCTGCTGCTGCTGCAAGCTATACTGGGATCGATGGTCAACGCCTTCATGGTGAGAAAGAGGAGAGATACAGAAACGAGGCAACAAGGAAAAAAGGAAAAATTAAAAGTTATAATCCAACATGCTCAGTTATTTCACTTTTCAAAAACAACCTATTTTTGATAAAAAAGTGAATTAGAGGGTTTTAAATTTGCTCACCCTGTCTGGATTTTAACTCCCATAACCACCCACTCTCTATACATAATCCCATTATTACGTTATTATCAACTGGACTTCAAAATGTTGCCGCAAATTATTAGGGGTGGGAATCACCAGTGACGCCACGATACGATATTATCATGATACTTAAGCCACGATACAATATTATCGCGATACAATATTATCACAATACGATATTATCATGATACTTGAGCCATGATACGATATTATCACGATACGATATGATCACAAGAGCATATTATCATGATACTTGGGCCACGATACGATATTATCACGATACTTGAGCCACGATACAATATTATCGCGATAGGATATGATCACAATACGATATTATCATGATACTTGGGCCACGATACGATATTATCATGATACGATATTATCACAATACTTGAGCCACGATACAATATTATCGCGATAGGATATGATCACAATACGATATTATCATGATACAATATTATCACAATAAGATATCATCACGTCATTTCCTGTCAGTACATGAATTGCAGGACAGGATTATGCGCTACTTTTTCCAATCAGAGACAGTTCGGCTCCAGTAGCTCCAGTGACCGTGATTAACACTTTTCATGATCATGCCGCATGATCATTATCATTGCTGAAGCAGCATAGTGGGGGTAGTATTTGATCCCACTGTCACACCTTAGAGACGTCACAGCAGTGTAAATATTCTTCCTTTAAGTAAGAGTATCTAATTTACTTTCTGTCAAGACCAATCTTTACCTACGCAGACATGTAACTGGTTTCAAATTAGCAAATTCAGATGAACCTTGAGTCTGCTTTTTCACTAAAACATGTGCATCTTCATAAGCTTTGAAACAGAAAAGGACCGGTTTGATTAAATTCAGGCCTCATGATTATTCACTCTAGGGGGATTTACATATGAAAGCTAAACGGACAAAATGACATTTTCATTTTGCGCAGATGTTTCACTTCCCGGAAAAACATGTTCAAAGTTCTGATGAAGCGGAGTTTTTCCATGAAGTAAGTGCTCTCTGATGAAGATGAATCCACACGCTGACGTCCAGGCAGGGTTCATATTTATTCATGTTCAGGAGCTGGAGACATGCCGTACTAACAGACGATGATGGTTCTGTGCATCTCCAAAACAGCTGAGTGCAAGGTTGATTTAAACGCTGATGAAAAGGTTGTCCGTATCCAGGACTCAGTTTTTATCCCTCCTTTCTCTCCGTCCAGGTCGGCTGTATGTTCGTGAAAATCTCTCAGCCCAACAAACGGGCAGAGACGCTGGTGTTCTCCAAACACGCCGTCATCTCTCTGAGAGACGACAAGCTGTGTTTGATGTTCAGGGTGGGCGACCTGCGGAGCTCCCACATCGTCGGGGCCAACATGAGGGCCAAGCTCATCAAGTCGAAACAGACTCAAGAGGGTAACGAGTTACACCTTTACGATGCTTTTTAGCTTTTAAAAACATTACATGCTTTTTCTCTTCCTCACCTCTGTTTCCTCGTTTCCTTCAGGTGAGTTCATCCCGCTGGATCAGACGGACATCAGCGTGGGCTTCGAGACAGGCGACGATCGCCTCTTCCTCGTGTCGCCCCTCGTGATCTCCCACGAGATCGACGCCCACTCGCCTTTCTGGGACATGTCGCAGGCCCAGCTGGAGAAGGAGGACTTTGAGATCGTGGTCATCCTGGAGGGGATGGTGGAGGCGACAGGTCAGATATGATTCAAGTGTAATAAAGAAATAAGAAACACTAAAATCCTCTAAACTATTTCTCCTGGTTTTATTCGCTGGCTAGTATTTTTGGAAATAGAGGTCAGGAGATATTATGAAACACAGTCTGGAAATTTTGGATAAAAACACCAAAACATTTTGAAAATGACTGAGCCGGGATGCATTTCCATGTTTGCACATGAAATGAAAATGTGGGCGATGGAGAAAAGCATGTGCTGCTAAAAAAAGGCCCTGCAGTGAATGAAAGCGCCGCAAGTTTCTCACTGGAAAGAGTGAGAGAAATAAATGAACAGATGATGATTCTACGATGAAAAACTTACTAACCAAGACTTTTCATCTCATGTTTAACTCTAACGTTCACCTGAAAAAGCCTCTGCAGCTCATCCTATTAACAAAACTTTCCCTGATATAGTTTTTTAAAGCCTTTCGTGATGAAAAACACTTAAAAATGTATAAAATATAACAGCATTGTGTTTCACGGCAGATAATTCTGCGCAATTTAATTTGACTCTGTTGTAAATGTATATTTGGCAGCAAAAGCAGGAATTGAGCATTAGGGGATTAATCCTGCGGATGCATAAAACTGTCTGTTATTACAGTAATACTATCACAGCTTTACAGAAGGCAGACCCTGCCCAAAACTGTCCATTAGAAAATGAAATCCCCCCTTCCAGGACGGCTAACTTTAGACGTGCATTTTTTTATCAGCCTGCGTTATCGGTCTTCCTGGAATCTTTGAGAGCCTCACAGTATTGTGATTATGTGGGAAACAGGCATGTATATTTAGACACAGAGTGAAAGTGAAGATCTTATATAACAGGGACGAAACAGGAGAGAAATCTGGATCTTTAGAGGGCAGGTCCGTGCTTTTGTGCTCTTTTCTTGCATGTTATAAGAGTCTAATGTTTTCTGTGTTTGGATCAGACTGCAGTCTGTTGTGACCGGGTTGTTCGCAGTCGCACCATACTTGTTCGAGAGCAACATGAGATTTGCTGAAATTGTGTTATCACCGGCTATGAAAGCGTGATAAACACAACACCAATCAGAAACATCCTGCTCTTTTTTTGTGGAGTTTTTGGCGCCCTCTCTAAACTTTCCAGGTCAGATTTGTGGCTCAAAATGAGAAATGTGACTTTCCAAGCATGGCAACAGCAGAAGAGGCTTCCAGAGTGTCGTAACGACACAGCAGCTTAAAAAGAAGTGTATAAACAGTGTCATTATCCCTCCACTCTGAGACCAAACTCAACACTTTAAAGTCATAAGGACACTCCTCTTCCTTCAATATCATGATCACAAACACATCCACCTGTGAGCTGTAACCCCAACCCAAAACAAAGAGGGAAAGACAGGTGAGGAGATGGAGGACGGTTCAAAAGTTGGAGCGACTGAAGTAGACGAAGTTAATGTGAGAGGGGGTGAGCAGCTTGTGGAGTAGTTATCGAGTTGAACTGATCAATATATTGTGATATTGATTTGCAGCCGTATCACCCAGCCCTTGATGATGCATTGTTGTTGTTTTTGTTTTTTTGCTTTTATTCTTTTGTCTTTTGTTTTTCCCTCTTATTGATCGTGAGAGCCTCATTTATCCCAGTGTTTCATATAGGCCTTAATTACTGCTGAAACAATCAGTTAAATGCTAAAAATATCGATGTCATAATACATCATTTCACATCCCCATAGAGGAGACTCTACTGTACAGATCCAGTACTTTAGAGATATATTTATGAAGCGTCTCTGAGAGGTAAAGGTGGCCTCTCTGCCCACTCCAAATATTGATTCCCTTAGTCAGAGTTACAGAGAAGTAGCTGCTGGTCAAACAAAGACAGCCTGTCATTTAACTCTCCTGTAGTTCACATTTAACAACACAAACCCTGTTCATCATGAATTCATGTGTGCTGTCGTTGGTGCGCAGGGATGACCTGCCAGGCCAGGAGCTCCTATCTAGCTGAGGAGGTGATGTGGGGTCACCGGTTCAGCCCCATGATGTCACTGGCAGAGGGCTTTTTTGACATCGACTACGGAGCGTTTCACCACACCTTCGAGGTAATGTCTTAAAAATAGTAAAGGTAGATCTGGTTCCTGTTGATCAAGAGTTAAAACCTCTCAATGCAAATCACCGGCGTCAACAATATCTGAGAGTGTTTAAGAAGAGTCATGCTGTTCGTAGTCCTATTCCTGTCTCCACCTACATGGAGCTGAATTCTTCTCTCCTGCTGAAAGGCATTCTGGGACGCGCAGTCACTATGACGTCAGTGTTTATTTTCTTGTTTGTATAAGAAGGGACACAAGTTCATTCACCAATGCTGTAACTGGATGAATTCTTACGCAGAGGTGTGTCCAGAGGGGTGATCAGGGGTGGCCCTGGCCCCTTTGAGGTCTGTGTGGCCACCCTAAAAATTCCATGTTTCAAATCCGTTCACCAAAAAAAAAATATTCTGACTGTATAGACAACCAGTATGATGTATCCATGGTAACAGGACTCCCTCCTTCCATCACATTTCTCCTCCCCCAGGTGGACACGCCCTCCTGCTCAGCCCGAGAGCTCTCATTGGCCGCAGCCAGGCTGGACGCTCACCTCTACTGGTCCATCTCCAGCAGGCTGGATGAAGAACCCACTCTGACCAATCAGGCGGCAAAACAGCCAGACAGCGGCTCGGCCAACAGCAAAGGAGGGGAGCCGACCTTCATCGTCGGGGAGATGACCGACATCCAGGAGCAAACGGGACTGGGCGAGCTGAACGGCAGCGTCGCCACCGACCAATCAGAATCCGAGGCCTAGGACGGAGAATGTTTCCCAAAGACGTTACGTTTATCTTCACCACACCGCAGTCAGAGTTCGCAGATGTTTTCTTTCCCGGCAGTCGAGTAGTTTCATGACGCTCGGTTCATCTTCAGTTTCCACTCAGAGGAGTCCGTTTCTTTAAATCTTGTCTTTTTTATGTCTGTGTTGATCTTCGTCACACGTTTTCTGTACGTTTGAAAACTTCTCACCATGTTGTGTTAGCTCGTATCACCCTTGCCTATATCTACATTTTAATAACAACACTATGCTTCAGGTGGGAGTCAAACGTTCTATATCCTCTGGACTAAGGCCGGACTTTAATGCATGGAGGTAATCCGTCACCGAGCAATAGATGGTTAAAGACATTTAAAGTCGTTAGAGTGCATAGATGCTTTATTTTCATCGACATATGATTACCATTTAGATTATATTAAGATATAGACTTAAAAATGTAGAAACCTCAGATTTCTTTAGATGCATTGTACATCAGTCAGGTGTTAACAGGGTTGGAACAAAAGACATGAACATATATCTGTCCACTCAGCGGTAATTTTACTCAAAAAAATAAAAGTATTATGTGGTGCTAGAAAATGATGTCTGAAGCATCTGATAAAGAGAATAAAAGTGGCCACAAATCTGGTTTCTTGCCCTGGCTGTAAATGATTTCTTATGTTCCAGAGGCAAAAACAAACATTTTCATTAAAGAGAGACTTAAAGGGATATTAAGTTACAGTCAAACACACCGTAACACCGAGTTAACATCGAGAGATGCACGGTAAGATGACCGCACGATAGCAATACACAGCGGTCTGAAGAGCCATTAACAAACCTCGACCAAAACACCACTCAACAGCCCTGACGAGTCGATCACTGAGTGCAGCGGAGTTTCGTAGCTCAAGGAAGAACATTTATTATTATTACTTAATGGAACAAAACCAGACTGAGACGCTAAGGCAGAAGAACTACCGCGTCTGCAGTGCAGAATGATTATTATGATGATTATTACTTCAAGGAAATGAGCCGCTGCACTCGGTGATCGACTCGTCAGGGCTCCACAACAAACAAGCAGCTGCTGGAAGAGAGATGGTGAGTTGTGTATAGTCTATTTGCTAAAGAAATAAGGCAATGTTAAAAAGATGTTTGGTGTCTAGTACTATGGCTGGGACCCTATATATACTGTTGATGAAGTTAGGAGCTGTTCTGAGCATTATTGGATCATGGAGACATAGACCACTGTGTATTGCTATCGTGCGGTCGTTACTAAAGTTGGTATTCATACATTCATCTCTCGAGGGGGTGTGTTTGACCCTAACTCAATTTTACGCTGAAATATCCCTTTAAGTCTCTCTTTAATCGCCCTACTTTGAATTTCCTGATATTCCTGAGTTCACCTGTACATCGTGGTGAGTGCGGTCTCTCCTGTAACCTTTAACATAAAGACAGGTAAACACTCCAGCGTGTCTGTGGCTTCGTTTCTCGTACGATGATGTGTGTAGCAAAGGGATTATCTATCTTTTGTCCCCAGCTGAGTAGAAATTAAAAGCACAACAGTGTCCCGCTCAGTTCAGCCCAAACTCCCGCTTCTGCTGCTGCTGCTGCGTATGTTTGTGGCCATTTTTACGTGATGTTTTTAATATTTAATATAGCACATCTATTAGAGTTAATAAACTGCAGTATATTCCAGACTGACCGGCTCTGATTGTGTTTCATTCTGCAGAGAGGACTCATAAATATGGCGTGTTTATATAACGTCCATATTAAAGAGATTAAAAAGCTGGTAAGTAATGGAACGACATATAAGGGGAGGGACTGGGACTTAATATGACACATTTATCTTTTTATTTATAGAATAAACAATAAGCAAGATATTTGCAGGTCTCAAGGAGTCAAATTTAAGACTTTTTAAGACTTTTTTAAGAGCATAATGAAGATAATTTAAGATCCATTTTACATCTATGAAGGGAAATCAGAACATTTTAAACTGACTTCAAATCAATTTTTATTTGTAAGTTACATCAATACATTTTTAAGACGTTTAAATTGGTATTTAAGACATTTTATGAGGTTTTAAGAGAATTTTAGACATTTTAAGGCCTAAAATTCAAATTATTGGATTTTAGACGTTTTTAAGGACTCTTTAAGGCCATAATGTTACATCAATTCACATCAATACATCAAGACCTTTCAAATTTGAATTGAAGACATTTTATGAGGTTTTAGGAGAATTTTAGACATTTTAAGGCCTTCAATTCAAATTATTGGATTTTAGACATTTTTAAGACCTTTTATTTATTTTTTTGTATCACAGTCGAATTGTCTAAAGTTTCGCATACTGTGTGTCCACCTCTGACCAATCAGATTTCGTGTTATTGCGACGTCAGATTCACCGGTATATCCAACATGGCCGACTGTCTGATTGTTTACGTGTTGGAGAACCGAGTGATTTTTGATAAAAAGCACAAATATTACAGAGATAATGACCTGAAGGACAACTTGTGGAGAGTCATAGTGTCTGATTTCTCATATGACGATAGTTTGTGTGCTTTAACAGTTTGATAAACGTCTTTGTTTTAACTTTCATCTGTGCTAAGTAACTTTAGCTTGTAAGCTAACCTGTTCAGATACAACGGTTGTTACCTTACGTTTACGGATAATAGTTTAATGTGCTTATCTGGTACTGGCCCCGACTCAGTACATGCTATCATGACAGACAGACATCTCAACACTACAGTCTAATCTGAACTGAAAAACACTTCGTCTGCTGTTGGGTCAGTCTTCTCACTTCCACCGGGGGTGCGTCTTTTTTCCACCCGGAAAGTTGCAAAATCGCATCGCGCTTTATGTGTATAGTCAGGTGCATCAAAATTCGCCTCTGAATATTTCGTAATTTCACGTCGTATATTAGCATCATTCCTGGTGTGTAAGGAAACAGATTGTGATACAGCTGAAAGCGTCTGTCAGTTTGTGGAGCTTTAAAGCAGCACAAATTTGGTCTAGAAGCAGATGAACATCCAGCTACAGCTCTGTGACGACCTAGTCTACCTGCACCCTCACCACAACAGGGCCCTGAGTCACCAGCCTCTGTCGTGATGGAACGAACTAACAAATCAGATCCACAGAGAGCCTTTCTACCTTAAAGACAAAGCTCCTGTGATCTGTGGAGGCCTGAATCATCACTGATCACACGACTAAACAGAGAGCTTTAGTGTTTACTCCATGTTTTCAAAGCTTTTGTCCTACATTAAAAAATACGTGTAGATTTAATGTCGAATAAACGAGCGAATCGCTGCTTTGAGTTTAAAATCACACATTAGGAGTGTGTTTAATCAGATTACTCGATGATCTACCGGTGTGTTAATGTGTGTGATTCATCCTGTAATAAATGAGACGATTAACTTATCTTTTAAAGGTGTGGTGATTTGCATCACTGCATGTTTAAGTCGCTTTTAAAAGCACCAATCAGTGATCAGCGAGTAAATCACCGCTCCGCTAATGGCCCATATACACATGTCACTCTGTGTAAAGCCCCTATAGCATGATGTTTCTCATCATATATTCAGGGCTGGACTTCAGCGCCAGGAGAAGTCAGCATATTGGGTTACCAGGCAGACTCTTGGCTCTCTAAAACGGCCCGTCTTTCTCGATCTTGGCTGCTAGATGGCGATAGAGATCCCTCGCTTCTCCTTGCAGCCAGTCACACAGCCCTATTGGTGTGCAACGAGATGGGGACCCCGTCTCAGCTGTCTCCAAGGCAACCAGGGCTGGGGACAGGGAGAGGGCAGAGTGTGTGTGTGTGTGTGTGTGTGTGTGTGTTTGTGTGATTTTGAGTGTGTGTGTGTGTTAATGTGTGTTTGAAGTGGACCTTCACAACTGATGGGGGACTTTATGAGGATTGTCAGAGAGTTGGTGTGACGCTGGAGTTTGATGTTTGTGACTGAAGAAGAAGAAGAAGAAGAGCGGGGGTCACCTTCAGAGAGAAAAATAAATAAATGAACGCCCTTGACATTGAAAACAAGTCCTGAAGGACACAGACATGTTTTCAATGTTTTTCTGTGACGACTAAACGACAGAATCCCTCATATATGATCCTAACAGGAAAATAAAAAACCTTTAAACAGGACTGGATGAAAAAGAAGCTAAAAATGGATTTTAAAGGGAGTCTGAACAAAAAACTGATGGAGAGCTCTGCAGGCTCTTATACAGTGATTGTTGTGATCAGAAATGTCTGATTAAGTGGACGAGTTTGGAAAAAGTTGAAAAACTTATTTTATTATTCGCCGAGTGTGGACCTCTGGGACAAAAGCTCCAAAAAACAGTTTTTTACTGACTTGAATCCTGGTAAAATTTCTCTACTAAACAAAGTGTGCAGGAATAAACAAACTTCAATTACATTTCCAAAATAAAACATTAAGTTCGTGATTTTTTTTGCATAAATTAGCTGCACAAAGTCTCTGTAAAAACTCTGTAGTTTGAGGTTGGATCAGAAAACTCTTCGTTAGTTCACAATAATATCTCTATCCCAATATCTGCATCTGGAAATCTCATCGTGTGATTATTTTCCACAGCTTTAGGATACAAAAATATCACATATCCGATATGAACTGTAACACTCTTGGTTCAGAAACTTTAAACACCGTAATGACCTGATTATGAGACTACCCAGTAGGGCTGCAACGATTATCGACATTGTTGACAAAAATCTAGAATGAAAAAAGTCGACAATGAATTCCATTGTCCACTTTTGTCGCCAGACTCCAGTGGAGTGAGACATCTTACTTCATTATGATCCTTGCCTAGAGTCACACATGTGCAACAGCGTCTCCGTCGAGCGGTAGGGTATTCAAACATGGCGGCGGCAGCAGCAGCGTCGCATACAGCAGCTACAAGTACGTGCTTAAAAAACTCCAGTTTGGGAGCACTTGTGAGCTACTCTCACTTCTACCTGGAGCTTTACAGGTCAGCTGATCCCTGATACAGCCTCTGATTGGTCAACAGCCTCCGTCTTTGGACTGTAGTGAATCATGATCGTCTGTTTTGGTCAGTTTAAAGTATGTTCTTTTAGAATTTAGGACTGTATAAGAGAGAGAAAAAACTCTGGATCAGTCCAAAGTGAGCAGAATTTTACACGGCTAAATGTTGGATATCAGGGTCCAGGTGTAAACGATGTCAAACTGGTTTACGAAGTGAATCTGAAGTTAGCAGAGCTAGCACCACCAGCCTTTAATCGTCCCTGCAGATGTCGACGCCTGTGTTTGTTTTGCACTGCTTCAGTCAACTTATCCAGACCTTTCTCTCTATTTTCTTCATCAAAACACTGAAAAACTGCTTTAAGCTTTTTGGTGAATCAAAAATATTATACAGACAAGCTGAAGGATCAACAACTCCAAAACTCTACAGAGATAAAAAGCCGGATCTCAAATCCTGAAATGATTCAGCTTTCGCTCCACGTCCTTGGTGGCGTCACAACCGCTTTGTTTGAGGGTTAGGGGCCGAGTGCAAGTTTAATGGTTTCCAGTGATTTTCAGCTCGCCCCGCACTTGAACCCCATGCGCCGTTCCGGGTTCTAATTATGATTATAATGAGGGGCTGTTCTGCTTGATCCCCGCTGAGCTGGAATCAATGTTTCCCTTCATGCGAGGAAGTCATGACAGTTGCGTTTCGGTCTTTAAGGACAGCGAGGAAAGAGGGAGGACGTTTAAAAATAGAGAATAGAGACTTTTTTATTTACAGTTATCCCTCTCAATCCATCTATACATGCAACCTACTTTTTGTTATGACCCACAATTCCCCTTCATATTTCCTCATTTATGATAAATACTGAAGACACCAAAGCCCCTTTCACACATGGACTTCACTCCCCAAATTTCCTCACCTTATCTGCACAGGCTGCACGTGTAAAAACAAACAGGTGAAAGTTTTTTCTCTGAACTTTTCTCAAACTTTTTCTCTCAGCCTGTTTTTTCACAGGTTTTTCTGAGGGGATTCTGTACGTTATTGAAAATGAATTTATTTGTGTTGTGCTGATCTCAACACAGAAACAGTCACTGTTATGGGCTATCAGTAGAAGTGGGTGCATTTCATTGATGTGTCGATACATCGCGATGATTCACATGACGATTTGGCATCGATTAATTAACGTTGATGCTTAAAAAATGAATAAATAATAACTTGGATGCTTTACCGCAAGGCAGGAACAAAAAACACGTAACTGGAACCTTAACGGGCACTGTCCGGACTGTTCAGTAAGTGGGACCATAACAAGCAGAGAGTATGTTTGTTTCCATGCAAAATGGCAACATGAAGGTAATTTTGAGAGTTTTTCAGGTCGGCTCAAGTGTCGGATTTTACGCGCTTCTAACTCAGTAAGTCAACGTGACACAAAATCGAAACTCTTGAACAAAACCGCCAACATTTGAAGGATTTTATAACTTCCCCAGACAAAGCTGGACAAGTCCAGACAGATCCCCAAAAGAGGACACGTCCAGGTAAAAGAAGACGTATGATCACCCTAGATAACCGTTAAAAAAGAAGGTTTCCAGGTGGCGTATTAAAACGGACAGTTGTTCACTGCCGAGTGCCCCGAAATATGTGACACTTCTGATTTTGATTCCTGAAACAGGAATAAAAAGGGGCTCGTCTGAAGAAAAGTGAATGTATGGCGACTATCCGAAACAAACTTAGTCGCCGAG